TGTGATGCAACTCGGCCTTTCTACTAAGTGCATCCGCCACCACATTGGTCTTGCTCGGCTTGTACTCAAAGATATAATCAAATTCGGTAAGAAAGTCTTGCCATCGAGCTTGCTTCGGCATCAACTTCTTTTGAGTTTGAAAGTAGCTAGTGGCTACGTTGTCCGTCTTCACCACAAATCGAGACCCGAGCAAGTAGTGTCTCCAAGTGCGCAAGCAATGCACCACCGCGGTCATCTCCTTCTCTTGTATCGAATATCGTCGTTCGGTGTCATTTAGCTTTCGCTCTCGTAAGCTATAGGATGTTGTTCCCGCATCAATACACCACCTATAGCAAAATCGAAGCATCGGTGTGTACCTCATAAGGCTTGGTCGGGTCGACCAAGCTTAACACCGGCTCCTCGATAACAGACTTGCTTTAACTCTTTGAAAGCCTTTTGGCATTGGTCACTCCACTCCCATGTCTTGTTTTTCTTCAACAAGTCGATGAGAGGGCCGCCTTCTTCGAGTAGTCACGGATGAAACGTCGATAGTAATTGACTAATCCAAGAAAAGAGCGAAGCTCGTGTACCTTGGTTGGCTCTTCCCATTCCGAGATAGCTTTGACTTTGGCTTCATCCATCATCAACCTTCCCCCTTAATCTTATGTCCTAGGAAGAGTACTTCCTCTTTTGCAAAGGAGCACTTCTCCCTTTTGACATACAACTCATTTTCCCTTAGTACCTTGAATACAAGTACGTAGGTGGTCTAGATGCTCCTCTAATGTAGAGCTATAAACCACGATATCATCAAGATATACCACTACGAACCGATCCAAGTATGGTTGAAATACCTTATTCATTAAGGTGCGTAAGGTAGCCGGGCGTTAGTCAAGCCAAATGGCATAACAAGGAATTCATAGGAACCATACCTTATCACGCATGCTGTCTTTGGCACATCTTCGGTGGCAATTCGAACTTGATAATACCCCGATCTCAAATCAAGCTTGGTGTAGAACCGAGCTTTTCCCAACCGATCAAACAAGTCCGCTATCAATGGGATTGGATACTTGTTTTTCACCGTGACCTTGTTTAATGCCCGATAGTCCACGCACATTCTCAACGACCCATCGTGCTTCTTTTGGAACAACACGGGCGAGCCATAAGGTGACTTGGAGGGTTGTATTTGTCCAGCCTCCAACATGACCTTCAACTCGCTTCCTTAATTCCTCCAACTCAAAGCGGGCCATTCGATAAGGTGCCATGGCCGGCGGTTTGGCACCCGACACCAATTCTATTTGGTGATCGATTTCTCTTTTAGGTGGTAACTTTTCGGGTAACTCGGTGGCATCACATCATCAAATTCGGCCAATACATTGGCAATCTCCTCGGGTATCTCCATGCTCTCATCTTCCACCATCCCATCTTCTCTTAAAGTTGCCAAGTATGTGACTTCTCCTCTCTTGAAGCCTTTCTTTACTTGCATAGCCGATAGATGCTTCAAGTCCGATCTAGCGTGCACCTTGACCGGCACCATGCATGGCATTTCTTCTTTCATGATCACCATTTGCTCCAAGTGAGGTGTAGGCATGGCTTTCGCTTGTTTAAAGAACTCCATGCCTAGCACAACCTTGAAGTCATCCATTGTGATAATGGTGAAATCTAGCGTCCCTTTCCATGCACCTATACCAAGCTTTACCCTATACGCTACGCCATAAGTAGGCTTAGGATAAGCATTCACGGTCTTCATACTACTTGATGACTTGGTCACCACCAAGCCAAGTCTTTTAGCCTCCTCCTCGGCCATGAAATTATGTGTGGCTCCCGTGTCTAGCATGGCAAACGCAGCCTTACCATTCACGTCCATATCCACGTACATAAGCCCATCCTTTGGTGGCACCTTAGGTGAGGGCTTAACATTACGTGCATCGAGAAGCCGAACCGATCCCAAATGCTTTTCATGCTCGGGAGCACTCTCCTTTTCCTCCATCAAGGCATCGAGGGCTTGTCGCTTCGGGCACTCTCTCCACCGATGTGGCCCATTGCAAAAGTAGCAACCCTTGGGCTTGAATTCTCTTTTATCATGTTCTTTGACAAAGCTCTTGGACTTATGTGCTTTGTCTTGCCCATCTCTATACCCCTTCCTTTCATAGGCTCCCCCACCTTTGCCCTCGAAGTCTTTCTTAGGCTTGGAGGGTTCTCGCCCTTTGTTATATTCAATTAAGGATTCAGCTATGGCCACGCCTTCGGCGAAGGTCTTAGGTCGTCGACCTCGCACCTCTTGTTGTGCCCATGATTGAAGTCCCTTAATAAAATCATACATATGATCATAGTCGGGTTTGCCACGTACCCGAAGTTTAAGAGAAAGATATTCTCGAACATACTCGTGAATAGTTCCCATATGCTTCAATGTTCGTAGCTTGTCCCGTGCTTCCCAATCCGCTTCCTTGGGGTAGAATTGAGCATACATGGCTTCTTTGAATTCATCCCAACTAGGCAGCCTCTAGATTCCCCTCTTTGAGCTCTTGGTGCTTCATACGCCACCATAAAAGCAGCGTCCTCCGAAAGATAGAGGGTAGCGGTCTTGACACGACTTCTATCCTCGGTCAAGCCCATCGCCTCGAAATATTGCTCTACTTGCCAAAAGAAGTTGTCCACCTCCTCGGCATCTCGCTCGCCAGTATAGTGCCTTGGTCGTGGCACTTCAACTTTTGGCGTGTCCCTTAAGACCACACCATTCGAGATAGTCTCTCGACAATTTGCCCAATCTTTTCTAAGTTGTTCAAGAGTTTGCTCATACCCGATCATATACTCTTGATGTTGCTTAAAGCTCTCCTTCGTCCATTCCATGAAGGCATCCTTTTCGGCAGCCGCTCTCCTCGGCACACCTCTCAACCGTTTCCACTCGAGCTTGGAGATTGGAGAGCACCTCACGTAGGCCTACCATGCCTAATGTCTCCCCTCATCATCTCCTTCTAGCTCCTCGAGTCTCTCCTTGAAATCGACAAGGTGTTCCTCCGCCCTCACGAGTCGCTCCTCCAAGGAGACTAATACGTCACGAGACTTCCCCCTTCCTTTCTTAGGTCGAGGAGGTAGAGTCTCATTCCTAGCATCCCCAAGCAACATCCTTCATGCCCAAGCTAGACATTCTTACTCTCTTGAACACTTTAGCTAGCGGCAAGCTTACTCGCACTTTAATAAAACTCGGCTCCGATACCACTTGTCACGCGACTTGGCCTTTCCCAAGCTCACGTGCGGCACTTGGCTCTCTTCTTCTCTAAGACAAACCAAGTCAGCCTTCCTCACACAAAGTTGCTAAGCAAGAAAGACACACATAAGAGATATAAAATACTCTTCGTATTGCTTTCTAAAAGCTTACAACTCTAAAGACACACTCTCTTAAGTTTATGAATGTCTAGGTGTCTCTGACCAAGTGAAGGCCTCACCTATTTATAGCCTTCCACCTCCTCAATGGATGGCTAGGATCTATTTAATCTAATGGCCACAATTAGTTTTCTAGAAATATCCTACCTAGATATTTACATGGAACTATCTAGATATTCACATGTTAGATTAGTGAGGACTCTCTAGAATTCTCTAGCATCATCCTGTAGACTTCTCCAATGCTCCATATTCTTCTAAGCTTCCGGACTTATCTAGAGGCTTCTCCATTGTTCCATGCTCTTCCGTAAGCTTCCGTACTTATCTGGAGGCTTCTCCATTGTTCCATACTCTTCTGAAGCTTCCGGACTTGTCTTGTGTTCTCTAGAATTTCTAGAAAAATCCCTCTTTTAGGCGGAGCGTAACAACGTGCTCTTTACCAAAAGGAAAAAAAGTATTACTTTAAATTTAAAAACTTTAAAAATAAATTAGTTTTTTTTAAGTAAAAAATTATTTTAAAAAGTTTTTGTGATAATTCTCTCAAGTTGAAATATCTCTTATGCAATTAGAATGCATGGTATGTAATGAAAAGAAGGGTGAAAGATTGGTAGATTTTCTCTCTCTTTTCTTTAAACGACATTAGACTCATGATACCCGAAAGTGAGATTCCGAAGTACTATCGAGGTTGGGGAAAAAAAAAGAAAAAAGAAAAAAAGGTTTTCTCTCTTTATATTCTTGGTCACGTAGTGCTCGTGTTTCTAATAAGTAGCTTTCTCGTCCTTTCTACTTGAATGAATCACAACGTTATTTTGGTTCAAAAATTGAAATATTTAAATTTTATCGGAAATGATTTGAAATATTTTGTTTTATACAATAGTATATATAATTAGTGGCTAGGGTTCTACTTAAATGTCTTAAAATATCTCTCACATAAACAAGTTTAAGGTGAAAATAATGAATATCATTATAATTTAGCTTCATCCACTTAGAGAAAAAAAAAACCAAATTAATGAATGCATACTTATTTCTATAATTAAATTTGTGTATGATTAGATATTTATTTCAATAATTAATTAAGTTTGTGTGCAGCCAAACCAAACCAAAGGAAACCCAAACAAACAATGCATTTCTTTTTTAAAAAAATTGTATAGTAATTAAATTCTTACCCCAGTAAAGGAGGATCAATCTACCCATCTACTAATTTAGGATCTTTCTTGTCTACCATAATCTTACACTTTCCAATTGTTTTACTAAAAAAAAATCTTCTTTAAGATTTTTATTAATCACTAAAAAAGTTCAATATCATTACGAAGCTATTTTTTTAATAAAAAAATTATATTTTAGTAAATTATATAAATTTATAAGAGGTTTTTTAGCATACATTTTTTTTTCTTAAATTAACAAAAGCTCTTTTTGTTCGAGAAGAAAGATCATATCTTTTGACGTTCGAGAGTGAAAAATTGATTCTATGTAGCCAACATACAATTTATTTAAAACTAATTATAAATAAAAAAAGTAACTAACAGCCATGTTTTCAATTTATTTATAAATAGAAAGATCATATCTTCTCCATCTCTCCCATCGCCTGCTTCCACAAATGTTAAAGTACCGTAAACAAACTCCCACTCCAAAGCCATGGGAACTTACCGTGGCCGACCCAGACTCGCATGCCCACCAGCCACGACTGCATCGTCTGGCCCACCCAAACCTCGATGTCCTAACCCAAAGCATGCCCCTGCCACCTCTGCCCAGTTACAGCATTCTGCTTCCACAAACAGATCCATGAGCTACTTATTAAAAATTTCTTATTAAAATTTCTTTGCTGATTATGTAATCGGAGATGGTGTAGCCTAAAGACCCATGAGCTTCTTATTAAAAAAGAAAAAGGAGTTAGGTTCTGATTTGGGTTCAGTAATACAACATATTATTAATTTCTTATTTATAAGGAGTAATTTTCTTTAGTGAAAAAAATATACATGAAGCATTACCATTTACTATATGCCAATTAGGAGGGACATATAAGAAGAACTAATTAATTTATTTTTCAAAACTAATGAACTAATTTATAATTTATTCCCTTTTAATCTTTCTTCGGCCCCCTTCACAGGCTTGGGCTCTGAGGCCTACTCAATCTAGGCCGATGCAACCACACTATTATAGACCTATTATTTGAGTTTCGTCAGATCCAATATCAGGTATAAGCACTTCCACAGAGGTGTGGTAAATAAAATCAAGAATCATTCTTCCCTGCAGTATTCAAAGTGAAGAAAAAGATGAAATATCAGTCAATAAAAGTAAAATATATATTAATTAGAAGACATGATATGTAATGAAGAGAAGGGTGAAAGGTTGTTGATAGATGATTTGGTGATATTGTAGGACTCCTTATAAATACAAGTCTGGTTATACAATACTGGCTAGCCCGGGAAGCAAAAAGATTTTTGTCATATAACATTTCAATTATTTTCAACAAAAAATTATTATTTACTTAATGAATAAATTATAAATTAGTCTATTTAGTTTCAAGAAAAAAAATAATTAGTCTCTTTTATTTTAAAAACTAATTATTTACTCCTTATATTTTTATATTTTATTGTTATTTAATATTTTAGCCCTTTTTTATTTTATTTTTTATTTTTTTTAAAAAAAATAAATATATGAAAAGATTGAAGAGGATCGCATTTTAAGAATTTTTAATATACTTAGAAATTATGGGTTAAATGTTAGTAGAATGAAAGATAAAATAATTAACTTATTAATAATGGCCAATAAGAGATAATTAAAAATAGTTTGATATTTATTTTGAGACAAAACAAAAATGAAAAAAATAACAACAACAACAACAATAATAATAATAATATTGCTTGGTGGGTAAATTTTACCCCCCAAAAACGTCAATATGGGGGGGGGGTGTGCGGCGGCGGCAAGGACTACCCCTGCCTTTAATAATTCACCTCCTACAAAAAATTACAAGGGTAAAACTTCAATCTCATTAACTCCCTTTCAAACATTAACCAAATGTTAATAATAATAATAATAAACATAAGCTAAGTAATTAAATTAAATAGCTAGTGTTCTATTGTGCATGGTGCTTGTGATTTGCCCAATCATAATCTACAAGAAAAAGTGAGTCTTTAGACGTGTGAAAATGCCATGAAAAAAAATGAGTAGTTGATTGATTGTAGCGTAGTGTCTGTAGGCATGCGCGACAAATGCAATGTGTTACACAAATTGTTAAATCCTACCCCACTTTTGTCGACAGCGAAAATGGTTTCTGAAAATGTAGAGACGTGTGATTTCATCTTACGACCCGATCTAAGAGAGTGCAAAAGTCAATTCTAAATTTAGTTTCAATGATTGATTGATCGATGTTAAAATTAATTCGAAGGTTTTTCACTATTTATAAACAAAATAAAGTATATTTTCTTTCAATTTGGATTGGTGCATGGAAATTCCTTTCTATTCAGTAGTGTTATTGTATTATACTACATGTTAGCAGCATTAATTATACATAATGGAGAGTTGCAAAATTTTGTTTAGGTTGACAAATTTTTTCACTGATAAGAAAAAAGAAAATTATGAGAGATAACTGATGTATTTTTATTTAGATTTATGTGAAAAAATAGAAAATATAAAAACTATAGAGGGAAATTCAAAAACATAAAGGGGATAATTGTCTTCCTGCTTTAAAACGCAGCTTTACCTCTGTTATATGTTTTTAAATAAATATATTCTCTTCCTATTTTTTCAGTATTGGAAAAAAAAATTCCCCCTCTATTACTTTTTTTTTAGTCTATATATATATATATAATTGGATCGATAATTGCCTATAGAATTTGCACTACACAACATAACATTTATGAAGACATTTCCTCCACACAAGAATAGGAGAAAACTATTGTACAAACAAAATAAATGAATTAGATGAAAACTTGAGTTAAAAATCCTTACGTAACGTACTTTTCTAAGGATAAGAATGATTTGACCGTTTCCTGAATGATCTGAGATTGTTTGCATGTCAAGAATGGTTAACGTTTCTCTCTTTTAAAACGTTCTTAAACACATGCAAGAAAAGGGGTAAAGCATTCTATATATGCATGCCTCTAGCACGTTATAGACAGCAGATAGAGAAAGGCCATTAAAAGAAGGGACATTGAACCCAATGGAGTTCCTTTGTTATCTACTACTAATTTCTTTTGTTTGGGCATCTGTACATGTGCTCATCACATCCAATCTACTTCGCCGAAAGTCCGTTGGCACCATCCTCCCACCTGGCCCTCGCCAGTTACCGATGGTTGGAAACATATTAGCACTCGGTAACTAGCCCCACCAAAGTCTTGCTAACCTTGCAAAAACTTATGGCCCTTTAATGACCCTCAAGCTTGGTAGGATAACCACAATAGTCATATCATCTCCAGATATTGCCAAAGAAGCATTGCAGAAAAATGAACAAGCCTTGTCTAGCCGACCAATCCTAGATGCTATTCGTGCAAATAATCACCACAAAAATTCAATGGTATGGTTGCCTGCTTCAACTCATTGGAAATTTCTTAGGAAAGTCTGTGCGAAGCAAATGTTCACTCCGCAAAAACTTAACGCCAGCCAAGCCCTTCGTCAAGAAAAGGTGGAAGAAATGCTAGAATATGTTCAAGAAAATTGCAACAATGGTCATGTTGTTGACATAGGGAGGACTGCTTTCATAACGGTCCTTAATTTAATTTCAAACACCTTCTTCTCTTTTAATATAGCCAATTACAATTCTAATTTCTCTCAAGAATTCAGTGATCTTGTGGTGGGTGTAATGGAACAAGTTGGCAAGCCTAATATTGCAGACTATTTCCCGATACTTCGTTTAGTAGATCCACAAGGTGTAAGACGAAAGATGAATATTTATTCAAAAAGAACAGCTCAAATTTTCGAGAATATAGTCAACGACAGGACACAAGGTCGTTCTTCTTTGGTTGCATCTAAGGCAAACCATGATGTACTTGATGCCCTGCTTATTCTAGCAAAAGAAAACCATACTGAATTTAGCTACAATGACATACAAGCTTTGCTTCTGGTAAGTATTGAGATTAAATTATTTTATTAATTGTTCTGACCCAGTTTTTCTGCCCACTAAATTTTAGTTGACGAATGAATTCTCTTGTATATTTACATCAGGATTTTTTCGTAGCGGGCACTGACACTACTTCAAGCACGGTAGAGTGGGCAATGACAGAGCTATTACTGAACCCTGATAAATTGGTCAAAGCCAAAAATGAGCTCCAGGAAGTCGATAGCCGGATCCTAGAAGCAGATATCTCAAAGTTCACTTACCTTCAAGCTATAGTTAAAGAGACATTTCGGCTGCACCCACCAGCACCATTCCTGGTGCCCCATAAAGCCGAATCTGAAGCAGAGATACAAGGCTATAAAGTGCCCATAAATGCACAAATACTGGTCAACGTTTGGGCCATAGGAAGAGATCCATCCGTATGGCCAGATCCTAGTTCATTCAAGCCTGAAAGGTTTTTAGAAAGCAAAACTGATGTGAAAGGAAAAGATTTTGAGCTAATTCCATTTGGAGCAGGAAGAAGGATTTGTCCTGGATTACCATTGGCTCAAAGGATGGTGCACTTGATGTTGGCTTCTCTTATCCACTCTTTTGATTGGAAGCTTGCAGATGGCTTAACATCAGAAAATGTAGAAATGAGCGAAACTTTTGGGCTTTCATTGCATAAGAGCGAGCCTCTTCGGGCTATCCCCATCAAAAAGTGAACTTATTTTCTCCATGATGTTACTGATAAGGATAACTATTTACTGTCATTAATACTTTCTTTAGTTATCTTATACTGCCTGTAGTTATCTCTAGCTATCACAAGTTAGTATATATATTCACCTTTATAAAGATTGTAAAACGTGAGTTAATAAAATCTTTCATGGTTGGAGCCCTTGGAGACTTAACAGTCAATGATATTTTTTTTCCACACTCACCATGGCAGCCGCTGATGCCCCATCAGATCAGAACCTTTTGCTGGCTGCTTACTCTTCCTCAGCTATCGTTCCAACATCTCTTCCTTATCTCCATATCCCATCCATTCTCAAACTTACTTCCACCAACTTCATCCTATGGTAAACACAAATTCATCCTCTTTTACATTGTCATGGTCTTCTCCATCATGTTGATGGATCTCATCCTCCACTCGATCCAACACTTGACAATAACGAACAAAACCCATCTTTTGTAAACTTGGAACAACATGATCAACTCATTTTCACCTAGATTGTTGGTTCTTTAACAGATGTGCTTCTACCGTTTGTTGTTGGGGCCTTTACTGCTCGAGAGGCTTGGTTAAAATTGACAGCTGCATATGGTTTTGGAATCAAATTCCAGATTAATCACTTAAAAAATAGCCTTTATCGCCTTGTCTAAATGACAATTGAATCTATTCAGTAGTACTTTCAGCATGGGAAAGCCATCTTAGATGTCCTCCATTCTTTTAGCTCCTCAATTTTGTGGTTTTGGTGCTCCCTACAGGCCCTTCATATGGGCAATTGAATCTCGTCATAAGGCTGTGTCTTGTGAGACTCTTGCTCTTAGTGAGGAATTTCAACTTCATAACAATATTCAACCTGCAGAAGTTCCAATTTTAGCTCATTATGCTAGCCATCAGTACCCAACTCATGGTAGAGGACGTCATGGTGGGTGTCCTTTCACACATGGTTCTCACCCAGGACCTCCTTATCCTCGTGACATGCATTTTGATTCCAGCAGTGTGGTATGATACAATTATAATGGCACTAGCCATCTTGCAAAAGTCTTTCCATACCTAAAATCATGCCTATCTATTTGCCAAACAAAGCTTTCTTCTCACCTTGCTCATTCACCTTTGTCACATCCTACTCACCTTGCTCATTCACCTTTGTCACATCCTACTCTCAATGGATTATGGACATGGGTGTTACTTATTCCTATTTCTCATGTTGGTTTTTCTCTTTTTTAAATTCATAATCATACTTTTCATCTCAATAATATTTTCCATGTTCCTTCAAGTAGTTAGAATTTTTTATCTATTAGTAGCTTTACCAAACATATTATGTCCCCCACAAGTTGACAGTGGGCATTCACTTTGTCCTTTAAGAAACTAAATCATATAGTAGATAATGTTTTTTTTTTCAGAATAACAGTAATATGATCATGTGTGGAAATGAATTCGATGCATAAACATCCTCTTGCAACCATATCTCTTACGAGATGGAAGTCGATTTCGATGTGTTTAGTGTGTGCATATAACACTGAATTAATAGCTATAAATGCATTATTCTAATGTTGTCACACCAAATAATTGGTCTAGTGGTGGGACAAACATCCAATGTACCTAACAGGAAATTGACCCACGAGATTTCTATAGCCAAATTAGCAACTACTTTATATTCTACTTCAGTAGAACTATGGGGGATCATTTTCTATTTGGAAGACTTCCAAGCAATAAGATTAGGCCCAAGGTAGAATACATACTTACTCGTTGATTTCCTATCATGTAGAGAGCCCACCCAATCTGAATGTGAAAAACCAAAGATGGTGTGTGTCTCTGACTGTCGTTTGTGAATACCTTGACCAAAAGTCTACTTAAGGTAACATAATATATGTTTTATTCCAATCTCGCGATTAGAATGTGGATGATGCATGAACTGACAGATTTTTTTCATAATATATGAAATGTCTAGCCTTATTAAAGTAGCATACAGGGGAGCACTAACCACCTGATGATACAAGGTGGGATCATCGAAGATCGTCCTACCATTCTTTGTTAACTTGGATGAGGTGGGCATAGGAGTTGACATTGGTTTGCAAGACGGCATGCCCTGTCTAGTTAAAAGATGTGTAACATACTTTTGCTAAGACAAGAGGATACCATGCTTTGTTTAGATTACTTCAATGCCTAAAAAATAGCCTATGTCCCCAAGATCTTTAGTAGCAAACTAGGAATTCAAAGTGTTAATTATAGAGGTCAGAAAGGTTGGATTGTTCCTAGTAACTAGTATATCGTCTACATAAACTAGAAAAACACTATGTAGTCATTGGCCCTATAGATAAATAGAAGTTGTTAGTCTTTGAATCTATGAACCCAAAACCAATCAGAAAACCCTATAGGTAGAGGAACCATACCCTTGGTGATTGCTTCAAACCATAGAGTGACTTATGGAGTTCACACATATGATCAAGTAGCTGAGGATCCATAAACCTAATTGGTTGAGCCATAAACACATATTCATTGAGACTGCCATTCAAAAAAGCATTACGTGTTTGAGTTTTTGTAGGACAAACTTAAGCTTGATAATTAGAAAGCAGCCTAAATGAGATTAGAGCATTGATGTTTGAAAAACAAATCATGCCACTAAAACTGAATTTTTCAAATCTCTCAATTTTCATCTATGTGAGTCATATGCATAACCCTTGCCTTGAGGTCTCTAGATCCTGGCCTCATGTTTTTGTCTATTGTTTTTTTAGTTTATCGAAGCAAATTAATTAATTTTTTACTAATAAAAAAATAATTAATTATTTTATCATATTTAATTTGAAAATAAATTTTATATTTCATTTCTAAGGTTTTGGTATTGTCTTAAATTTCACCTAAAACCTTTGATTTAATTAAATTAAGCCAATATTTTTTATTTTTTCAATCAGCTTCAGTATCTTTTATTATTGTTTCAACTCCCATTTTTTTCACTTTTATCCCAGTTCCCCCCTTAGCCTATTTTTGTAAAGTGTTTAAATTTCAATTTTATTTTTAAATTTATGACATATCTCAATATCATTCAAAAAGTAAAGAAATAAATAAATAAATTGAAATTAATAAAAATTAAAACTAAAAAATCAATAAATTTTTTTATTAAAACAAATATGATAAAACTTGAGAAGATTAGTTTCTCAATAAATTATTAAATTCAACCAACTTCAATTCTTATTTTGCAACATTTTCTTTCTCTTTGTTAATATTATAGTTAAATAAAAATAGAGATTCAAATTAATTTAACTCTCTCTTCTTCTTTTTTTTTTGTCAAAACTTTCACTATTCTGATCTCTGTCGACTAACATATGTCTTTTTTCTTTGATGTTGTCCGATCCTTAAGCTACCATTCTATTCATAAGGGATTTCAATTTTTTTTTTTTCAAAATTCTTGTTTTAATATATTTTAATGAATAGTTGTATAAATAATATAGATATAATATGTTAGTAAGAGAGTGTATCAAAAACAACATCAATAGCAATTGATACTTTTTATTAAAAAATATGTTTTAACATATTTATTTTTAGCTTTATTTTATTCTTGTATTGTTAAAGGATTGTTAGATAGTATTGATGAAAAATATTATTTTTTATCATATTTATTTTATTGAAAAAATATATCTTTCTTCAATAATTTTTCAATTTTAATTTTTAACTTTTGGGCTATATAGGGATATTCTATCATTTTTTGATGAAATTAAAATTTTCGTAAAGTTGAACAATGTCTAATTAAAACAAATCAAAAGTTTTAGATGAAATTGAAAAAAAAATACAAGAGAAGTAGATTGAAATATATCCTTAATTTATTGATCTTAACTATATACTACTCCATAACTTAAGCTTTACTCTCATGTATACGTAAATCAAGACCTCAAGTATTATCAATTGGCTTAACAACAGCAGCTGCACTCCTTGGAAAGCCAAATTCCTCATGCATGCCGTCAACTCTGTGAAACGCTACTTTGCTATGTTGTCTCTTTTATTCATGCTTCAAGAGAAGCATGTACCCAGCAACCCATGTTTAAATTCATTTCGCAATTACAAAAGATCTTTTTCAGAATTCCTATGTCTTCATTATATAAGGTTTTACAAGAATAAGAGAAAAAAAATTGTAATTGATAATTCGGACATGTCATCAATTAATAGAAGTATTTTCGAAAATAGTTGATTCACAGTTTTAAAAAAATTAATGTACTTAAAAAGAAAAAAAAATTAATGTTTATGTATTTGATTAGAAAAAAATAGGATCAAATTGTAACTTTATATGATAGAAATAACAAACACGTCATCGATTAATGAAAAATTCAATAGAAGTACTTAATTAATAATTTTTTTAAAAAATGACTTGGAAGATGAATTTTTATTTTATTATAACGATGGAGATAAATAAAGAGAGAAAAAGAGAGTAGGTGAATGAGAAAAATAAAGAATAATTTAAAAATAAAAAATACTACCATAAGAACACTTCAGTATCATTCAAACGAAAAAATTAATTAACAACTAAGTTATTAATAAAATTAAAATATAAAAATTAAATAATTATTTTTTAAAACTAAGAAGATTAATTAATTCATTTCTCGAAACAATTAGGATTAATTTGTAATTTACTATGGACATTTAGCAAGAATTTGTTGACCAACGAGATGCTAGCTTTTAAGTTATTAATAAAATTAAAATATGAAAGATTAAATAATTATTTTTTAAAACTAAGGAGATTAATTAATTTATTTCTCGGAACAAATAGGATTAATTTGTAATTTACTATGGACATTTAGCAAGAATCTGTTGACTAACGAGATGCTAGCTTTTAAATTATGAGATTACAAAAATCAGCAACTTCTTGGTGTGGAGTTACACTTGCCTCTCTAGTAAAAAACCTGTAATGGTCAAATAGGACAGGCCCATTCTGTCCAAGAAAAATAATACATTGCCGATGTTGACCGGTGGATTGTGATTTCTTTCCTCCCGGAGGGGGCATAAAGAATCCTTCTAGATATGGCTTTATATATACGTACACTAAAATTATTGAAATCGTTTTTGTAATTAATGTAAATTCATGTTGTAAGGTCAAAACTCTAATCTTAGGAGGCCCACTCTACCTTGAGCAGGTGCCCTCACACAGCTTCCACTTGAGAATGCGACCAACCGAACCTTATCTTATTGCTTTTCAGCATTTACAGCTCAAGGCTCTTGGGCCACGGATGACTTTTGCCTCAATGAAGGGTGAGCAGAAAATTACTCGACTTATTTGAATATAAAGCCAAATAGAGTATCTTTGGCTCAATGACTCTCTATATCTGAATTTATAAATATAAAAATAACTTATTTTACTTATAATTATTTTCAATATATGTATTTTTCGTCTTCTAAAATTGTCTTAAAAGTTTAAAATATTTTATTTTCTCATGACCTATATATATTTTACTTAATAGAAACTGATCGTAAAAAAATATTATAAAGTTCCAACGAAAGTCTATTACCAATAAAAATAGAATTACAAGTTATTTCTAATTAAAATCTAACATAGAATAGAGGTTAGGAAATTTTAACGAAGCAGAGTCTTTATTGAAATTTGCCTCGGCATCTTATTCTCATCACTATCACACCACCACTCAATTATCATCGTCATTTTTACTATTATAACTATGTTATTATTATTTAATTATTATCATCATTTTTATTATTTTTATCTCATTAATTACTGTCAGTACCATCATTTCATTACCAAAATATATAATCATCATTTTAATATTACTGAACTTTTTACATTATCACTAGTCAAATATTGTAAAAAAAAAAATCATATAAAATGTTTTACGGTAAAACATTTTATTATGTAAAATATTTACGCAAAAGAAACGCCCTCTTAGCGTAAAATACCTTACTCAACAATATTTTATGAAAAAACATTTTTGTGACCCTATTTTTTCAAAACAAGTGTTCTTTTGATTTTTATTAAAAACCTTCTTTTCTTTATATCGTAATTGCAAAAGTCAACCACTAAGCCACAGACGCTAAGCATCATTCTTAAGCTAAAACAATTAAGGAAAGATATACTGATGCTTGAAACTAATACTCACGCATAAAGGGGTAGATTTTTTTTTGTTTGAAAGAGAAGAGATTTCGAAAGAAATGATCCGATTACATATAAATTTTGAACAGTAGGAACTGAATTGAATAATTTTAAAATACAAGGATTTAAATCTATATTATGTGGAAAGAAATGAAAATCCCATACGCAGCTTCGATCCTTCTCTCCCTCTTGAGGATGGGACGAGCAATGCCAGAGTCAAGAAGGAAACCTCCATGGGCCCACCCTATGGGCCCCAGACAACCTTTTCTTACTCCTTTCAGCATCTACAGACCAAAGCACCATGGGCCCACAAACGACCTTTGTCCACAGCAACCATAATGGACTTCTTATATTCAGAAAATGATAGCTTGAAAATCAAAATAAGCCACATTATTAATAATAAAAACTTTAAATTTGTCATTATTTAATAATTTGACAGTATTTTTTTCCCGGATTATATATATGTTTTTAAATAAATATGTTCTCTTACTATTTTTTTTTCAATTTTGAAAAAAAAATCCCTTCTCTATTACCTTCTTTTTTTTTTTTTTTTTGGTCTATAAATCTTTTTCACACAACATAACATTTTGTGAAGACTTCCTCCAACCAGAATAGGAGAACATTTTTGCATTCTATAAATGCATGACTCTAGCACACTAAATATAGAAAGTAGACAGATAGAGACCATAAAAAATAGGAAATAGAGAGTCCAATGGAATTCCTTTGTTATCTACTACTGATTTCTTTTGTTTGGGCATGTGTACACGTGCTCATCACATCCGATCTACTTCGCCGGAAGTCCGGTGGCACCATCCTCCCACCTGGCCCTCGCCAGTTACCGATGATTGGAAACATATTAGCTCTCGGTAACAAGCCCCACCAAAGTCTTGCTAACCTCTCAAAAATTTATGGACCTTTAATGACCCTCAAGCTTGGTAGGATAACCACTTTAGTGATATCCTCTCCAGACATTGCCAAAGAAGCATTACAGAAACATGACCAAGCCTTGTCTAGCCGACCAGTCCTAGATGCTATTCGTGCAAATAATCATCACAAAAATTCAATGGTATGGTTGCCTGCTTCAACTCATTGGAAATTTCTCAAGAAAGTCGCTGCCGTACAAATGTTTAATTCGCAAAAACTTGATGCCGGCCAAGCCCTTCGTCGAGAAAAGGTGCAAGAAATGCTAGAATATGTTCATGAAAATTGCAACAATGGTCATGTTGTTGACATAGGGAGGACTGCTTTCACAACTGTCCTTAATTTGATTTCAAACACCTTCTTCTCTTTTGATATAGCCAATTACAATTCTAATTTCTCTCAAGAATTTAGCGATCTTGTGGTGGGTGTAATGGAACAAGTTGGCAAGCCTAATATTGCAGACTATTTCCCGATACTTCGTTTAGTAGATCCACAAGGTGTAAGACGAAAGATGAATATTTATTTCGAAAGAATAGCTCAAATTTTCGAGAGTATCATCAACGAGAGGATACAAGAACATTCTTCTTTGGTTGCAGCTAAGGCAACCCATGATGTACTTGATGCCCTGCTTATTCTAGCAAAGGAAAACAATACTGAATTTAGCTACAAGGACATACAAGCTTTGCTTCTGGTAAGTATTAAGATTAGATTATTTAATTAATAGTTCTGATCAAGTTTCTCTACCCACTAACCTTTAGTTGACGAATGAATTCTCTTGTATATTTACGTCAGGACTTTTTCGTAGCCGGCACTGACACTACCTCAAGCACGGTAGAGTGGGCAATGACAGAGCTATTACTGAACCCTGATAAATTGGTCAAAGCCAAAAATGAGCTCCAGGAAGTCGATAGCCCGATTCTGGAAGCAGATATCTCAAAGTTCACTTATCTTCAAGCAATAGTTAAAGAGACATTTCGGCTACACCCACCGATACCATCCCTGGTGCCCCGTAAAGCCGAAGCTAAAGTAGAGATACAAGGCTATAAAGTGCCTATAAATGCACAAATCCTAGTCAATGTTTGGGCCATAGGAAGAGATCCATCCGTATGGCCAGATCCTAATTCATTCAAGCCTGAAAGGTTTTTAGAAAGCAAAGCTGACGTGAAAGGAAATGATTTTGAGCTAATTCCATTTGGAGCTGGAAGAAGGATTTGTCCTGGATTACCATTGGCTCACAAGATGGTCCACTTGATGTTGGCATCTCTTATCCACTCTTTTGATTGGAAGCTTGCAGATGGCTTAACACCAGCAAATATAGACATGAGCGAAACCTTTGGGATTACATTGCATAAGAGCGAGCCACTTCGGGCTATCCCCATCAAAAAGTGAAATTGTTTTCTCTACGATGGTAATCACCATGGGCTCATGGACAAGTAGAGATGGCAATTGAGCCTGCCCCGACCCGAACCGATCCTGCCCTACCTCAGTCAACATGGGAATTCCCCGCATTGATTGGGGAACGTGCCTCATTTCGTTTTGCCCTGTGTATAGTGACTTAGTCACTTTGGTCTCATGTAATTGCTTGCTTTTTTTCTTTGATATCATCTTTTTTTTTGCATCATTCAGGCTACCTCTTGACAACTTATCTTTAGATTATTGATTATATTTTAGACAAAAAGTTTATGATTTTTTAAGCAAAGCAATTAATTTCTTTGGTGATATGTTTTACCAAAAAAAAGGTAATTTTTGCCCTGTTTATGCTCCATTTGCCTTGCGGGGATCTCCATCCTCGTTTGAGGCGGAGATGGGATAGAAACTTCTATCCCATCTGAGGCACGAGAGGGGATGAGAAAATTTTTTTGGGGCGGTAAGGGGATGGGGATGGCGATCCCGATCCCGTCCTGCTCCATTGCCATCCCTATGGACAAGGCTGGAATTGTCCTATCCCCATTTTTTTTTTTTGGAAAAAAAAAAAAAGAAGTTTTAAAGCACTTTGCAAGCTTAATAAAAGTGTATTTTTTACAATATGATATGAATATATATATAATTCATTAAAGTTTCAAAGTTTCTGTAACATAATCGTAAGGACACGTGTTAATTAATATAAATGCCATGCTTCACTTTAAATTTACTTTCATCATTAATAAAATCTAGCTTAATAAGTCAAACTTTCTTGAAATTCTTAATTTATTTAAAATTGAATTTTTAAACTTTAAATTTGGTTTTTAAAATCTCTAAATTTTTAATTTTTTTTTAAACTTAGTCATCTTTTAATTTTTTTATCATTAACTAAATAAACTAAAACAAAATCTCGATTTGCTCGTTCCAAATACTGTTCACGCACTCACAATTTTTGTTCATTAGTTTTTTACACTTTGATCCCCGATCTTTGTCAACTAATCTTTCGGTTCACATCTTCATTTGCTCATCCATTTTGATCCCTGGATGAGAGATAAGGGAGGAGGGAAAAGAGAGATGGGAGGAGAGAGAAAATTATCGACCAAGCTTATTTAGGCCCCTTTGGGTGGAGAAAATCCACTAGATTTGTTTATCTTTGAGAAATGAGTTTGTTCATGATTTTTTAAGCCATTAAACCGTTAGAGGAGGTAGATCGAAGCCAAAAAAGGAAACAAAGTTTCGATTTGATTGTGTAATTTTTTTTGTTTTTCTATGCATTAAAATGATTTTTAAGGTTTTAGATATGTTTATTAGCTTTATTCCGGTCATTTAGAGGTGTTTGGGGGAAAAAATGATGCCGAAATTCAGTTTCTAGGGGTTTGAAACTTGAACTCCGACTTTCCGACGAAGATTCCGACGGCCTCGATCGTCGAAAGTTGCGACTTTTTTTTTTTGCAGCATCGCAGCAGGCTCGGCTGTTTTTTTTTTCTTTTGTTTTTTTCCTTCCGTTTTGGCTTAGGAAATTCTTATTTATTTTGGTCCCTTCATTCTTTTTTTTAAATTTTGGTCATTCATCTTTTCCGATCTTTGATTTTTATCCCTATCAAAAATATTAAAATTTTATTATATGTGATTTTAATCCTTATAATAAATTTTTTTTAACTTTTAGTAAAAATTTATGTTTTTTTCTGTTTTTTAATATGTTTTTATTTTAGTTGTGAAATGTTTCTCATATTTAATTTTTATCCATACTATGCTAAAAGTAAATAAAATTTACAATCCTAAGGTTTTTTTTTTTTTTTACTAAAATTTTCTTTCTATTCTAATTTCTATTTTGTTATTTTTTCTTTCTTTTCGTCATTAAATTTAGTAAAAACAAATTTTTAGTCTTTGTTTTGTAATTTTTTTATAATTAAAATGTTTTCCTACAAGAAACTATTTTTTACTTTTAATAAAACTTTTTGTTATATTTTGGTTTTTGTTTTATGATCTTTCATTTATTTTGATCATTAAACTTTTATTATATTTAATTATTAATCATTTTACATTAAAATTAAATACATTTTAACTATCCTAAGTTTTTTTTTTTTTTAGTGAAAAATTTTCTGTTTTCATTCTTATGTTATTAATTTTTTTATTTTAGTCATTAAAATTCTATAATGTTTACTTTTTTTCCTGCCTTATGCATAATGAAATTTTTTTAGTCTTATTATTTATAAGTATTTTTTGTATGCTTTTAGTGAAAGTTTTTTTTATTTATTTTTATCCTTTTATAATCTTTATTTTATTTTAATCATTTAATTTTTATTATGTGTAATTTTATCTTTATTTTCTTTGCCAAGTTGTCGATTTGACAGAGCTTTTTATCTTTTGTTTTGAGTGGTCTCTCTGTCTCATTAATAAATTACAAATGAATAATATATGATAAAAATTAATCATTAAAAATTCAAAAAACTACCATATTATTATTGTAATTATCAGTTATTAATACAATACATGTTTATATAAAAAATATCTAATTAGCAATATTATATTACTCAACTTTACAGATTTTTTATTAGTTAAACCTATAGCAAATTATGAAATATATGTTTTAGTTTTTTTAAAATTATTTTCACATGACATTGTCAAATAATGATTTGTAAATATTAAATTTTATATTAATGAATGCATAAGAATGATATATAATTCATCTTGCGGCAACGCACTGGATATATGCTAGTTTATTCTAAAAAATAACAAGTTCCATAATGAAAATCATTTGGCACGATTTATTAGGAACTCCTCAAAATTGGAATAGTTCTGAATTATTCTCTCTCTCTTTTTTCCTGAATTTTTATACTTTTAATGCTAAAAAAATAAACAAGTATACTTTTTAATTTTTAAAAAATTCTGGATTTTTCTTGAAAAATAGATTAGATTTTTCCAACACGTGTTGAAAATTTTAATTTAAAATATGAAGAATTAATTTTATTTAGATGAGAGGATGATAGTTGAAAATCATGGAATGAACTAAATCTTAAAAGATTAAAAATTTAATAAGTCCAAAAATCAAATGCGAAATTCAAAAATTTAATTTCAAATAAGTTAAAGTTCAAGAGGAATTTTACCCAAATCTTAATCTATAATTCAATATTATTGACTATAAAGATTAAAATCATATATAATGAAAAAAAAAAACCCCCATTTTTTATTAATTATATAATTAAATGTGCAATAACAAACATTTTAAAACCACAATTGACTCTTTCTCAAAAAAAAAAAAAAAAAAAAGAGAGCAATTCGTCAAAATTAATCGCTAACCTTTTTTCCCCTGCAATGTCACTCGTATCGAATCAATGAAAAAACGAAACACGTCCTAGGAGAAACTTTTAAGCACGTGCTTTTTACCAAAGGAAAATTAATAACCTTACATGGACTTATATATAATTGTCTAAGTTTTCAATCTATTTTTATATCATAATATAATTCTATTATATTTTCATTATTTTAACTAGTTTTTAATTTATTTTTTAATTTAATTTTTTTCAGTCAAGCTAATGAAAATTAACCATGACTTGTATATTACATGTCTTTTCATAAAAATACAAATTATATGCAAATCAGGTAATTTCATGAGTTTATTTTTAATGGTATTTTTGTCAAAAGACATGTCATGTGTAAGTACATGATCAATTTTTAATGATTTGACCAAAAATTCACTAGAAATATAAGTTTAAAAACTAACTAAAATAATATAATAACAATAAAATCTTTTTAAATGCAATATTAAATTTGAATATAAATATCTAAAAAATTCAAAAATCATGAAAATATCATTATGTAGAAAAAATAAATAATGCATATGAGTTTGATGAATAATACAAATAAAATTGAGCGAATAGTGTCATGAATAATAAGAGATGGAGGGAAAAAAAACCGACACATCTGCTTTAAAACAAAATAAACATCCAACTTGAAACAACCGAGGGGATGAAAAGTAGGAAATAAATGGAATGGCCGAACTAAACATCCAACTTGCCCGAAGTAATCATTCATAGTGCCTTCAGTTGCTACAAGCAAAGAAAATGGTAGAACAAACCAAGGGTAGAAAAATAACCTCACTTACCCATCAATGGCATAAAATAAATTACGTACCAAATTGAAGGGTTGAAAAATACCATCTGTAAGGATAAAAGCATACAGTTACGAAAAAAAAACACAAAACTTAAAAAGGAGAGGAGGTGAAAAAGTAATATCACATATATTGCAAGTGAAAAAGTGAGGAAAACGTTTTAAAATTGCTCACAATATCTAGCGGCGAGGTGGCTAAATCCAACAATGAATAGCAAGACAGCTCGGATGCAAGAAGGCACAAAAGGCTTAGATGAAGCAAGACATGAGACAATAGTATTAAGAGTAATTTTATAATATATCAAGAGTAATTAGTGGTACGTATAGTAATTATTTCATAAGTTCGTTTTGAAAGAGAGATAGACACATAAAAAAAATAAAATTATATCCATACTTATTAAAATGATAAGAAGATTTTCACGTACTGTTCAAATTTTTTTATTTTCTCTCTTTTGTTTCTCTCTCTCTCTTTTTTATCTATCTTTCTTCAGAATAGACGTATGAAATAACTAATATACTTATCACTTATTACTCTTGATATATTATAAAATTTCTCCAGTATTAATGAGTCAACATCCACCGTCCATATAAGTCTAGATCAACAGGAAATGACAAGTAAAAATCTCACATATTTTAATGAGTTACTATCCACAATCATAAGTCTAAATCAACACAAAATGAATAATAAAAATCTCATATATTTTAATGAGTCACTGTCCATAGTCAACGTGAATCTAGATAGTCAACGTGAATCTAGATTGACAGAAAATAAATGATAAAAATCTCGGGATATTTTAGTTTTTCTTGTAATTATACGCACAAGTGTGACTGGAAAGTACTAGCGAGCCCGTGAAGCAAAAAGATTTTTTTGTCAAAAGACACATTGAATGATAAAGGGAAACCACTGGGAAAAAACTCATTTTCTCCCTGTCGTCCTCTTTAATCACTATCAACAGGAAATGACCATTGTTGTTTTTCCTTTCTGCAGTGATTAATTGCAGACAACATTTTAGGATGGAAATAGCTTAGAATCAAAATAGTCCCAGCAATTAAAAGATAGCCTGTATTAGAATGAAAATCACATCCAAACAAAATGAAAAAAAAATGTAATTCTAATTCGATTTTATGAAGGATAAAGATGCTTGGAAAAAAAATAAAGTTAGTATTTATAATCTAATATCTGAAAAATTACCAAAGCCATAATAGCATGCGTAGAAAGTTTGAAAATATCAATGCTACTACCATGGCTTTAAAATCTATCAGCACCCAAGAAATCTACAGTATACCACAACAACTTCAAACATCGTAAGGCTACCCATTAAACGACTCAGGTTAATCTGATACTGAACTTGAATTGAACCTAATGAGCAACCTCATCTAACATCTAAAACCTCTCGTCCATAAATGATAAATCAAGTGCAGCTCTCGCTTGTCTTACGAATCAGATTACTCAAATCTCCTCTTTTTTTTTCTTATATCGGTAACCTACAGACTCATGATAACTCCACTGACCCATAGATTATAAATCATAGGTCAGAGACACGGTTGGTGGCTCTAACATAAAGTTTAGTAAATGTTATAACTCAAACCTTAAACACCTGTCAGTCTCTCTATTTATTCGATAGAAGCTTCGTTTTTTATGCACCCATTAAGATAAAAATATTTGATCTCGGGTCGTTGATGAGTAAATCATTGTATTCACTCATGAATGTTGTCAAATAACAGAAGGAATGTTGTAGGGTTTTTGAAAAATAAAGACACATGGATAACAAGTACCATATAATGTTTACATGTTATAAATTAATTTTGCATGAACAAGGTTAGCTGTGATTTATTGAACAATACACATAAACAAATAAAAAATAATAGAGAAAAGTATTTAAACCTGCTAGCTAATAGAAAAAAAAAAAAAAAAAAGCAACACAATAGAAATAAATCTTGGTCCACAATAAATTGAGTCTCAACAAATAGTGATAGTATAATGTTTATGGATTTTTTTTTTTTTATTAACGTTAATTGTTCATATAGTTTCAACATAAATTTTATTCGCGCGGAAACCATTTTTTCTTTAGAATTGTTTATGCAATATTACACTATTTCTCTTCATCTCTACCAAATCTCTTGTATTTTTCATTCCCTGATTACATAGCTCTCCTCCAGAATTATATCATATTAACGTAATGAGTCTATTTATTAAATCAAAAGATGAAACTTCATTTATAAAAAAAAATTATTATTTTTTAAAATATATTTGTTCAACAATAAAATCAACAAGACGATAAATTTTTATTGATAAATGTATTAATACTTTTACGCCTAATAATATAGGGAAAAAAAGAAAAAAAAAAGTTTAGCACATTTCATTTCATTTTCCTTCTTATATTAGTTTCAGTTGAGAGCAAAGAAACCTGATAGACTTAAATATTTACAATAGAGAATTTTGTAGATACACAACATAAATCTTGGAAGTTGGAAAATTTTATTCTACAGAATTCTAGATTTCCAAAATAATATTACAACACAAAAAAAAAAAAAAAAAGGTTGGGAAAAAAAGGCAGAAAACTAACATATTACTTAGCAAACAAAAATGCTAAGATTATCCATTGCTAAAAGAAACAAGCCCTTGATTAATGGGCAAATTTATTTTTGATCAACATTGTTTTAACATGGAATTTTCTAAATACTTGAAGAAAATTTAAATATAAGGTGTTTTGATTTTTAAAATTTAAAATTTATATTTTCAATTATAGAATTGATACCTTATAGGATTGAAAAAATAAATATTAAAAATAAAGGCTCTGACTTATTTAAGTAATAAATACAACATAATATAAATTTAAAACTACTATTGAAATTGAGCTTTTTAATTAATAATGAAATATGAAATACCTCTTAAGTACAAAAACATTATCATGAATGCTTAATTAGACAAGAAAAACTGAGCTTGCATTGATTCTCACCTTGACTAGCAACGTAGAATCAAATGTTCAAATTGAAGGAGAAGTTGAAATATCTCCTATGGAATCAGAAGACAAGATGTATAGAGTTTCTTTTTCTTTTCTTTTAACAACTGTAGATTGATTATATCTTACAAGTGTGATTGCAAAGTGCTAGCTAGCCCGTGAAGCAAAAAGATTTTTGTCATATTGCTCTTCACTTCTTCTGTCGAAATTAATTATTTAGTGAATTCTCTGACATATTGAATGATGAAGATAGACTTTTGAGGTTGCTTCTTGCTTGTGGTGCTTTTGTATCTTTCTTTTCTCATATCCTATCTCCTCAAAAGTTATGTAATCCATAAGAAAACCACTGGAAGAAATTTGGACTACTAGGTAAACCAGTATTGTGTAATCCAGGAAAAACCCTAAATCTCTCTGACTTACTACCAAACATAACCTAAGGTTGTTCAAAAGAAAACAAAAAACATAACCTAGAGTGTTATGAAGTTGTCTTGTGATTTGACTTCTACCATTGCATTATCAATGGGTGGATACTGGATGGAAAGTCTCAATATCTACCTATAAAATTGAGCAAGTCTATCCTTTCCCTCAACTTTTGCCTCAATCATATTCTACAAGAAAAAACGAGTGATTGATTGTACTGTAGAATCTATAGACATGCGGCGTGAAAATGCCATGTCTAGACAAAATGTAATGCTTAGTCTGAGACTTATGGTGTGAATAGGGAGGCTAGACTGATGACGATTTTTCTTTCGTTTGATTATTTGAGTTAATTAACAACAAAATTAAAATATATATTTTTATTGTTTATTATTATTTTTTTTTTATAGAAAACTATCATTAGTCCCTAAAAATTAAGAGACTTGACAATTAATCTATTTAAGAGACTTGACAATTAATCTATTATTTAATCATCTAACCTAATCCCGAAAACAAGATTCTAAAACTAAAATTAATTAAAGTTAACAAATTACATATCTCCATCGATAAAAAATAAAAAAATAATAGTTAATTCTTTTGTTAGGATTTTGTTTTAAAATTAGTTTAGTAGTTATCGAGTGGGTGAATGGTCGAGTGTTCTAAATTTTTGGGGACTAATGACTATTTCACTCGACACGTCAAAAATTAAATTAATAATTAATAGAGGAGGAAATTGTCAAGTCTCTTAAATTTTTAGGGACCGATGATGATTTTTCTCCGAAATGTCAATAATTAGTTTGGATAACTAAATAAAAAATAAAGAAATTGACAAGTCTCCTAGATTTTTAGGGATCGATGACATTTTCTTTGTGAAATGTCAATAATTAGATTAGTAGTCAATAAAGAGGTAAATTATCGAGTCTTCTAAATTCTTATAGATTGATGATGATTTTTCTTTGAAATACCAATTATAAGTTTAGATAATCGAAAGATAGGTGAATTGTTGAGTCTCCTAAATTTTAGGGACCGATGGCGATTTTCTTGAAATATCTATATTTTTATTAACGAGTTAATAAATCCATGAATTATCGAGTCTCTTAAATTCTTAAGGATCGATGACAATTCCCTATCGAATAATGAGTCATCCGCCTTTAAATTGACTCGAAAGGTTTGGAGTTCAAATCAAAATAATTTGGTACAAATAAAAGATTTAAGGAAATGAATTTAAGACTAAACTAGACATAGTATCTTTTTTAGGAAAAAGATATTTTTGAGCGACCGTTGTCTTCTCAAAACATAACGAACTCTTTGTCCTAAAATCTCTATATCAATGCTATTTTAGGTTTTTAGTTTCTCTAATATTAGGTGATGACTCCAAATACAATAATAACTCGCATCTCAAAAATTCATGTAAATAAGATGCATATCTCTAAAGAACTTAGAAAGCTTAGAATTTGTTTCAGGAGTCCGTCCTGTATATATATATATATATGCTCTTGTTTCTTTTCCGTCTTTTCTCACATCTTTTATTCTCTTGTCACTGCAAAAGTTACATAACCCAGAAGAAAAACAAGTTAATTGCGAGAGTTGATTAGTATTGTCAGGAATATGAACCGGCATTGATTGATTTAATCCAAGAAAATTCCCCGGGGAAAAACCCATTTTCTCCTTATCATCTTCATTAGTGACTCACTCTTAAAATTCAAAACCTGATCCTAATTGGCCAACTTTTTAGAATAGAAAGTCGAGATCTTAATCAATAGTTACAGCTTACAATTTGGCATTGTTTTTTTAATGGTTCAGTAGCAAGGGTATCTTCAAATCAATATTCATGCACTTCAAAACTAATTTTTCTCTTTACGTAGATAAGAAGTATGTTTTAATATACGATCTCGAATATTTTAAAAATAAAATTTAAAAATTAATGATCATTAAAAATCAAATTTTGAACTTTTAACTTATAATCAATACTTATTTATCAACGAAATATCAACTTATCGTTTACAATTTGGCATTTTGATTTGAAGTTTTACTGGCAACATGACTAGGTTAGTATTTTTATCTCTTTGCGAAGTCACAGTATATAATATAGAATGATGGAGGCTTGTTTATAACATCTCTTAATAGTTTATAATTTTGCTTGTTACTGGTATCGCTGCATCAAAATGTGAGATGAAAATGGAAACATATATAACAGGCATTCTTGATGACTCATTAACGAGGGGCAACTTACAAATTAATCATCTACTTTGTAGAAACAAATTGATTAATCTTTCGTATTTTAAAAATTAATTATTTAATCATTTATTCATTTTATGTTTTTTTTTCAAATTTTTTTTTTGTTTTTAAAATAAAAAAGTGTTGTGAAAATATTAATGAGAAAATAAAATATTTTTTAGAATAAAATAAAAAATGATCAGAATTAATAAAAAGATTAAATAATTCATTTTTGAAAGCATTGAAGACTAATTAATTCGTCTTTGGAAAGCAAAAGGATTACTTTAGTATTAGATCTAGCAATGAGTCAAGGTTAAGAAAAATCAAAACTCCCTGATTTATGTTCACTTATTTTTGAGTTTTAGTTCGTTTATATATATATTTTTTCTCTTTAATTAATGCATTCGAGTTTATTCGGTTTAACTTTTATAATTTTTTTTTATTAAAATAAGAATTTGAAGAAAAAAGGAATTAAAGAGGCATTTAAAAAGAAGGGTCGACTTTTTCTTTATCCACTAGACACTTAACCGACGCGTCATCAAATAGATGGAGATAGCCGTCAATTTATTACCAAATGAAGTCAAAGGAGAGATCCAAATATATCTTTTCTTTTGTTGCTTTCAGAATGCCCAGCTCCCAGACATAACCTTTATATAAATAAATTATAAATTAGTCTCTCTTGTTTCAGAAAATAAAGTAATTAATCTCTCTTAATTAAAAATAATTATTTAGTTCGTAGTTTTTGAAATCTATTTATAATTTAGTTCTTTTTATTATTTTAAATTTAATTTATTTTTTATTTCAAAAAATAGAAAAAAATGAAAAAAATAAAAAAATTAATGAAAAGATAAAAAAAATTTATAAAATAAAAATAATATTAAATTAAATATATTCAACGCTGATTAAAAGATTAAATAGTAATTTTTGAAACAAGAGATACTAATTAATTTGTTTCTTGAAACTAAATGGACTAAATTATAATTTACTCACCATAAAATAGCAACTGCAAAAATAAATAAATAAATCTTTTAGGTGAAGATTGGTGTTAGAGAGAGAAAGAGAGAGAGAAGCAGGCAAAAAAACGAAATAAAAGTTAACACATGTTGAAGAACCTAAACCAATCTTTCAATGTTTTTGCAATTTGCTTGGTGAGACGTGGGGTTAGTTTACTGTTTTCACATTTGTAGTTAGATTCTTTTCTTCTGTAAAACAAATAATAAAATAAAATTGCATTATAACTGAAGTAAGTTGTGACCATCTAATATTATAAATAAAATAATAAAAAGAATGTTTTTGAATTCACCATGTCAGTATTTGACTATTATATTTAGATTTTTTTTTTTTTTTTGGCATGGCATTGGACATGAGCTATAAGTAGATTAAAAAAAAATGATTTTAAGAATTGATAAAAATTAGATGTGATTCAACGCTAATCTAATTTAGATAATAATTAATTTAATTACGATTGATGTAAAAACTAATTCGAGAATATTTCACTATTTATAAACATAAAAAAAAAAAGTTGTGACTGATTTATAACACGTATAAATAATATTTTAGTGAAATTAAAATGATTTTCAGCACTGCTGAAAATCAATGAAATTAAAATAAATGATTTTTTTTTTATCATGAACATAAATGATAAATGATTGTTGTGAAAAATGAATTTCAGAAGTATACTAAAGAAGCTGGGCTAAGTCTAAAATAAAAAGAGAAGATGGAAGAACCCACAGAAATTGACAGGGAAACAAGCAAAGAAAATCAATGGGCTGTCTTCCTGGAAAAAGGTCCATTAATACAAAGGATTAATGGGCTAACTATAATCAAGCAAGGAAAAATCCAATAAAAACAAAATTAATGGGTGGTTCTTCAACATACAAAGACCAACATAGAGAAACCGAAAAATCAATAATTTTTTTATTAAAATAAATATGATAAAAATTGAGAGGGTTGGTTTCTCAAAAAATTCTTAAATTCCACCACCTTCATTTCTCACTTTGCAACATTTTTTTCTTCATGGATACTATAGTTAAATGAAAATTAAGATTCAAATTAATTTAACTCTCTCTCCCTCTCTCTTTTTGATCCCTTTCAACTATCTATCTCATTTTTTTCTTTGATGTTGTCCCATCTTCAAGCTATCATTCCATTCATAATTAAGAAATTTCAATTATTTCTTTTTCAAATCTTTTAATAAAAAAAATTGGATAAGTAATGTAGATATGATAGTGTGAGAGAGTATTAGAAACAACAATAATAGCAATTGATACTTTTTATTAAAAAAAATTTTAACGTATTTATTTTTAGCTTTATTTATTCTTGTATGGTTAAAGAATTGTTAGATAGTACTGATGAAAAAAAATATTTTTTATCATATTTGTTTTATTGAAAAAAATGTTTTCCTTTGATGATTTTTTCAAGACGTCAGGATGTTAACTGTATCTTTGAATCAGACTCCACAAATATTATTAATTGGCTGAACCACCACCAGCTGCACTCCTCGGAAGCCTAAATTCGTCATCCATGCCATCAACTCTATGAAATGCTACTTAGCTATTATCTCTTTTATTCATGCTCCAAGAGAAGCAAATACTACAGAAAATTTCCTTGCGAAGGCTGCTGTCCCAAGAGCAGAGGACCTTATTGCTTGACTATGATTTTTTAAGCTCTAGATTTCTTTTTTGTGTTGAGGTTGATCTGTCCTATTTTGGTTCATATGGAAGTTTTCATCTTGTCTATGCTCTTTTGTTGATTGCGAAAAGCTAACCTCGGCAAATTTAAACTCTGCTGACATTAAAAAAAGAAAAAAAAACAAAAAAACAATTGGAAATCATATTTTGTTTGATATGGAAGTTTTCATCTTATCTATGCTCCTCTGTTGATTGCGAAAGCAATCTTTCTGGTTTAGCAACCTCGGCAAATTTAAACTCTGCTGACAAAAAAGAAAAAAGAAAAAAAAAGGAACAATTGGAAATCATACATATATCCATGGCTGATTTTAATCTTTGACACACTGATCAAATTTAAAACAACAGAGATAAATTCGGTTCCAAGGTTTTAAGGGTCAAACAATCAGCTTTATGGGCTAAGTGTATCGCCAAATAATCAGCTTTTGGGGCCACAATAATATTGGTGAGGACAAAATTTCTCTACTCAACATTTTTTATCTCAAATTATGTTGGATTACCAATCTTCTCAATATAATACAAAATTTTCGGAATCAAATTACAAGATATTCAAGTTGGTAAGAAAGGACAAAGCAGACATGATTTCTTCAAATATTAGAATTAGTGTCAATTGACATATTCAGTTTTTCCGAGAGAAAATTGCATACCTTTAGTCTAAAAAAAAAAAAAATTACATCAATTGTAGCTCTAATCAGTCCTTATATAAACGAATTGTCCGACTTCAGGACAAGTTCAATTGGACATGACAATCTATGCCTATTGACTAAACATTTGGAGGACAAGGCTCAAATTTGTGCTCTTCTAGGAGTAGATAATCAAAGTGAAAACTTTCAAGCTTATTAGAATGGTTTATTTTAGTTTTGAAACTATCTCATTCAATGTAAGCTTATCACAATTTACTTATATAAATCTCTATGATTTATTGCTTAGCACTATCTTTAACATTTGTTTACATATCTATTGCTCGATAAAAACTTAATGGTTTAAAACTATCGTATACTTCTATGATTTGTACAATCAATACAAGTCTTTGGACCTACATCATGATTCAGAATGTTTTTGAAGCTCAATCTACCACTAATGTGTGCACTTTATTTGGACAATCTTTACCTATCCCGGATGGCATTGCTAATTTTCTTTTTGAAAGAATACACAATTCATTTGATTCGGAGATAATTGCAGCATCGTCAAGGATTGAATTTCAAATATTTAAAATTCTAAAAATTTATATTAGTTACAGATTCAAATCCAACAAGAGATTAATAGCACAAGACCAAAACATGTTCCAAAGAAGAAATTTATAGTTATAAGTCTGCATAACAAATTGAAGGAACAAAAAGTGGAGCTAGCAATAAATCCAACATTCAGGATCAACTATGGTAATAAGAAAGTACAGAGTAAACGGTTTGTAATATAGTAACAACTAGAAGAACAAAGGCAGCGATGACCGATGTAACCATCCATGGATTTCCAAAATAGTCGCGTAGCAAAGCCTTCCTATATACGTGCCATTTTGATTTGTAGTAATCATCCACTTGCTCGCATAATACTGCAAAATAAAAGCCTCGCACAACAGTTTGCTTACAGATATTGTTAAAGAGATCTGCAACTTGTCCATAATCTCCGAAATCATGTGGAATGATCTTCTTCTTCACAAGAAATTCAACATCTTTCGATGAGTCAACAAGATAATCCATGAGTAACCCATAAGATGTCATGTAGTGCTCATGGCTATGCAAGCATTGCTCCATAGCAATAAGGTTTTGGAAGAGTGAACTCTCGACACATTGTGGGATTTTTATAATCCCTTTTTCAAACTTCAAATCAAAGAGATTTTTAGTTTGATCATTTTCATGCTCAATTCCAACAAACTCAACTCCAGCTTCACTGAGTTTTGTTGCTGAGTGTATTAATTTCCATGTTCCCTTGCGACTTGAATGTTCACTTGGAGAAGAAGGAGAGTAACAGTTGTGTATTAAATCAAGCAAATGAAAAATTTTTCTACCCTTGCTAGTTAATCTATCTAGTTTGAAGAAACAACGAGCAAGATCAACTAGATTTGGTAGATCAATATGATCCATATTGTTTTTAATTACCTGAAACAACTGATCAAGAACAATGAACGGAATCTGATTCTCTAGCAATGCCAAATCACGTCGTACAGCTGAGATCATCCGAGGATTAAGAAGGATGGGATCATCAGGTCTACGGTCATTCATATAATATCTGAAGAAAAGCTCAAGTATAAAGCAACCATCAAGTAACATCATTCTGGCAAGTTTAGTTTTTGTACGTTTCACTTTTCCTTGATAGCAACCACGAATTTTGTCATCCAAAAGTGAAGTAGCATGCCCACAAGCATCTAAAGCTCCTGTTTCATCAAGTGTTCGTTCAAACAAGGATAGCATGTAGGACAATTTGTGTTCCTCCATAGCCTTCAAATTCCTCTCTCCGTGGTGAAGAGGTCCGATTGAGATGGTAAGAGGACTGAAAGCATTTTTCTCAATCCGGAGTTTGTCCGGAACCTTACATATGTTATAACTAATAGATAGCGATTTCAAAGCAACAATGTCGTTTTTAATGTCAATCAGCCAAGAATCATCGTCTGCACCTTCAGCTGGATTCGTAGCCATAAATTCCGAACTGATCTAAAAGAAATCACTCTGGTAAAGAATCCAAAAAAAAAAAAAAAAAATCAGTTCTCTAACCACGTGTTAGAACATATACCACATTGAATAGTTAAACCAATAATAAATAATATATAAAGTTGAGAATAGGTCACCCACCATAAGACTTAAGTCTTTTGTATGAAACTCAATCCTAAATACCAGACCCCAAAAGATAAGCTGCAAGTAAGAAAGAGTGCCCAAGACACTTGACAGACCTCAAAAGATAGGCTGCAAGTGAGAGGGAGTGTACTCAATTATAACTATCTAATTCTATACCACCTTATTCTAAAATATCTACTATCTCAAGTCACAGGAAATCTTATATACAAATCATCTCTCGTAAACATAAGATACATAAATTAATGAAACAACTGGAAATCCAGCTGAATACTCCTGGTAGTAGACAGCAATCTTCCAACTATTAATTAAAAAATAATATGAAACCACATCTTTGAGTGTTGTTTAACAATTTAAGTTTTTAGATTGAAATGTTTTTTATTGTTAATAAAGACAATCACTCTCACGACGAAAAAAGAAAACAAGTTTTGACAAGGTTGAAGTAAATCAGTATAGATAATTAGAATTAACTTCCAAGAACTATATGAATATACTTACTATTCATGCTCACATTAGAGCCTAGCTAAGAAAACAAATAAATAATAAAGAGTTTAAACAACGAAATCAATAGCTATTCATGCTCAGATCTAATAATTCGTATAAAGATTTTTCAAATAATAATAATTATAAAAAAAGGCTTTCTTACCTCAGTTTACTTTCTAATCAGCTTTCTAGCAGGCGCGCTTGCTGGAAATGCTACCCAGTTCAGTGGATACAGCAAACAGAGGCTAAGGTTTCGACAGTGATCTCTTAGATTCGAACGTTTTTGGTGTCTTCAAGAATGACTATCTCAGATTGTCTGGTCAACGGCTGTTAGGAAGCTAGTTTGGCATGATCAGAAGGCTAGATTATCTTGTTGGGGAGAAGTCTGTGAAAAAGGTGTGGATAGCATGAAAAGAGTAATATATATATATGCATGAAAAAGTACAGGACAGAACAAATACTACTATACAAATATAATGAGCAAATTATAAATTAGTCCCTCCATTTTTTTTTAAAACGAATTGATTAGTTCTGTTTGTTTCAAAAATTAATCATTTAATCTTTTAACTAGTATTGATTACATTTAATTTAATATTATTTTATTTTAAAAAATGTTATTTTTTATCATCAATCCGTCCATAATTTTTATTTATTTTTTTAACCATTTCTATTTCTTAAAAAAAATAATAATAAATTAAAAAAATAAAAATGATTAAGTTAAAAAAATTTAAAAATATAGGGACTAAATAATTATTTTTTAAAACAAGAGAGACTAATTGATTCTCTTTTCGAAATTAGAAGAACTAATTTATAATTTATTGCAAATATAATTTTTTTTTCCCTAATCTTGTGATCAGATAATTGTTTTAGAGATTCATGATATAATGGGATAGAAGTATTTGCAAATATAATTTACTACAAATTTGAAAATACAAATAATCAAATAGAAAAATAAAAATACATATATTTAAATAAAAAATAAAAGCATATATAAGCACTTGATTAGAAATAAAATAAATCGTTATTGCTTACATTATCTAAAATTGTTGTTATGTAAATTTTTAATTTTTTTCTCATCAGCTATTTTTGTTAAATTCATACTTATACCATCATTAAATTGACTAGATTAGAAATAAAATAAAATATTTAAATGTACTATTAACTAGATTCTCATTAATGTAAATTTTTATATTTTTAATGAAGTATTTTTGTTAAATTCATACTCACATAAATATTAATTAAATTGACACGTCAACATGGATGTTGATCTATCCACCAACATAAGTATGAATGTTTTATTTTATTTTTAATCTGTCCAGCATGAAGGTTTTATTTTATTTATAATCGAGCTCTTGTACTTTTATTTAAATATATGTACTTCTTTTTTTCTATTTGATTATTTATGCTTTAAAAAAAAATTATGAGTATTATTAATTTTTGAAATCTAACGAATAATCACTATATAATTTTATGCAAACCATATTTTGACCAAATTAACTAATTTTTTTTAAAATAAAATGTTAATTATCAACTCTTTGATCGTTAAAGATAACAATTAAAGATCATATTTATCAAAAAAAATAATAATTTAAGATCTAATTAACTATAATTCATAATAAAGATCCGAAATTGCAAAACCTAGTAGCTTGGGTATAATTTTTACTATTAAACCGTTACATATGTGTATTATTCAACATAGGACAACACAAGCTTGTCTGGGGACAAAAATTCGAACATAGGATAGGGCAAAAACTCTCTTATCTTGTCCCAAGTTGAATATCAAATAGCTTCACATGACACTGCGCGTTATCCTGTCAAATCCCCATATACAGAACAAATAGCATCACTTTGCATAAAAAAGAATTATACATTTCAAAACCTTTCCATTCATTAGCCTGTGTTACGAAATTGAATACAGAAAGTAAAATCAAAGGGCAAGGAAAGGAAAGAGCGTACAAACAGAAAGCTTTACATGAGTTGGCTAAGCTTACTGTATCAATTGAAAGCAATACAATATAGAGATTTTGAAGAAACACTCAACCCTAATCACCTTACAATTAACCTAACAGCACACACTTTGCAGATTCTGGCTACTATAGAAGACTAAATATGTAAGCTAATGGATAATTGGCTGAAACAGCATAACAGGTCCGTATCCATCCGGAGCTCAAGGAAGACAAGACAGACTCAGGAACCTGAAAAGCAAACGAGCCAGATCAGTGACTCAAATTTTCACATTCATACATCTGCAGAAAGCAGAGCAATACAGACACTTCTATGAAACTTCATGTTGAACGGGAGATAGTGTGTAAATTACCTTGGGCAAGCACTCCAATTCCACAGTGGGTAAAACTTGCAAGCATAAAATATGTATAAAACAAAAGTAAATGTCCATCATACATGCTCCTGTCAAGAATTCACAATGAATTAATGACTTCATATGAAAATATTACTCTGAAATTGTTATTGATAACTCAAAGAAACATTTCAGTGGCAATACCTCAATGTGTTTGATGAAGGGAGAAAAAAACAGAGAGAGAATTACCTAGACTTCTCTATTGATCTCGTGGCCACCAATCAATATTTTGGGGATACGAGAAATTTTGTGCCAATCCTCCCCTGTATTTCGTTGACATCTCTGTTCCAGCAAGGGACATGACATGATAGATAGAGAAATGAGTGAAGAGGGCAGGCTCTCTTCTGGCATGGACTTGAGCTTAGGGCATTCTCTGAGTTCAAGGCTTTCAAGGGACGTGAGGTGTTGAGCACAAAGGGATTCGAGATTTGGACATCTGCTGATGTTAAGTTGCTTTAGTGCAGGGTAGGACTCCGGTGGGAAGCTTTGGAGTGGAGAGCGAGTGATCTCAATTTTTTGTAAAAAAGTGCAAGAGTAACCCCATAGCTCAATTTCCTTTAGTATGGAATCTAAGGAGTGGAATGAATCAACTGCGAGACTCTGCAAGTGATGGTCCAATACCATCTTATGGAAATCGTCACCTAACAATAATTTATCAGTGGTTGGAAGCTCAGAAAGTGGAAGCTCAAGCCTCTGACATTTTGTTATCTCAAGCTCTACTAAAGGACGGTGGATGGGCATGGTTTTGTTAGCTAGGTTGGGACACTTTCTTATGCAAAGCACTTCAAGGCATGGGAAAGCTGTGTTTTGATTTTCACCAGCATGAGATTGCCATTCACGCAGTTGCAGCATCCTCTCAAATGTTAGGGTTTTGAGGGATGGGAATGGATTTCTTGTGGAAGTGGACCTTCCATAGAACTCGGGACCAATCTTCTCCACCCTATAGAATGCTTGAACCACGAGCTTTTTCAGAGATGATAACCGACCAATTGGTGGTAAGGAGGAGCAGTAATGACATTCACTAAGCTTCAGATCGACTATTTTTGAGAAAGAAGACGATCCTACCCAACGTGGAAATTTTTTGCCTCCATAACCAGTGATAGAAAGACGTTCCACAGCAGTAAAAGGCTGTAATCGTTTGAGTACATCTTGTTGTAGCAGAGAATCATCAGCACCACTCCTACTCCATCTCAACTCAATTTCCTCCAACCAAAACCTCATAAAAAATCCTAATTCTGGAGCATCCGAAACATTTTGAAGGTTCCAAATATGAATTTCTCCTCGTAGACCCCCAAGCTTTTCTAACTCATCAATGTTGCACCCAGTTTCTTCACCAACAAAAAAGTCAGTCAACGTTTCAAGCTTTTTTAGTTTACCAATATGTGGTGGCATCTGTTGTAATCTTGTTTCTCTAATATCAAGATGACACAACTCAGTTAAATTCGCAATATTGGCTGGTAACTCGACAAGATCTCGACACTGACGCAAGATCAATATCTCCAAATTGAACAAGCTACCCACAGATTCAGGTAACTTTTTTACTGCTGCTCCAGAGAGATTTAGATATCGTAGAAGTTTGATGGTGCCAATTGAATCGGGCAACTCCTGTCTATTAGACAACGATAATACTCGTAGGTGCTTGAATTTCAACAAAAGACGACCAATTTCCTCATCATTGATATCTTTCCAAAAGCACTCGTTTGACATTGGTAAAATGGTGCGCATTCGATCTCCATCAATATTCGTCATAAAATGGTCTTCATATCTTCTTAGTTTGTCAAGACACCATATATGACTAGTCTTTCTAGACAAAGAATCGCCATCGTCCAAACTAACACAATAATTTCTGGATATCGATTTTGCCCAGTCATATATGCCTTCATGCAACTTGAAATACGGTGAATCATCACTTGCTTGTACAAAAAATGAACTACCTACAAGTTCTTGAAAGTGACGGTAACCTCTTGCCTTTTTAAAAAAATTAGGAAAACGATAACGATAAAAATCTAGAAAATCATCAGCCAACCACAAAAGGACTAACTCTTCTCTTCTAAAATAATAACCTTTAGGAAAAACTGCACAGTAAACAAAGCGTCGTTGAAGGTCTGATGGAAATTCACGAAACTTTGATTTCATATCAGAAAGAGTGGTATCCCCTCCATAATCTCTACCATCGAGACCGAGGCTAAGCCCTTGTTTCTCTAACTCTTTAATCTTTGGAAAAATATTTTTTAAGTTTCGTACCAATTCGTTTACATTGTCCTCTCTGTGACAAGTAAGGAGAGAGGAGAAAAAGTTCTGGATCTTGTTGCTTCGACTTCCAGAGCCAGATTCTACCTGTAATCGTCGATCTTCCCAATGAATCTCGTCCAACAAGTCTTCAGCTTCATGGAGAACATCTTGAACATCATCGAACCAATCCTTCACATCTTCCCTAGTGATCTGCTCCACGGCATCAGTAAGCAGGTTGTTAATTGTAGACGAAGTTTCTATAAGCTTGTTCGTGACTCGCACCGTTTCAGAAAAACGTTGAAGTAAAGTTTCCAAGATTGAAGATAGTACTGCATCCGCCATAGTACGAGTGCGGAAAAATGGTGAAAGCAAATTAAATGGAAAGGATCAATTGCTGGTAAGGAGAAAAAGGAGACTGAGGCTTTGATTAGAGATATAATTTATGCGTTGAATTTCCTCGGACGATCCAACTTTAAGAGTGTTTTATGGCAATTTTTTATATATAATTATTTGGAAAAATCTCAAAATAGTCCAAAGCTATATACTCATTCTCAAATAAATACCAAACATATAAATTTTATCAATTAGATCCCAAATATTTCCAAAATGATGCCATCATTATAGTACATAAATATGCATATTAGACACAAAATTTTACTATTAAATAAATTGACGAATGGACACAGTTGATAAATGTAAAAAAACATATGAGACCATTAATTATTATGGCTTACTTATAATTTTTTTTTACTTATAAATATTTTTTCAATACGTCTAGAACAATAATTTATTTTACTTATAATTTTTTCAATATATCTAAAAAATTTATGTATTTTTTTCTTTTAAAATTACCTTAATTAACTTTGCTTGATAAGTGTCAAATATTTTTTTTTCATGACCTATATACTTAGATTAATGGAAATTGATCATAAAATAAAATAAAATATAGAGCTCCAATAGAGGTCCACCACCGATGGGAACAGGTATGGAGAATTGAAAATTATTTCTCATTGAAATGGGGATACAGAGGTTAGAAGATATCTGGGGAGATAGAGGCAAAGGTAGCAGCAGCCTTTTGTATCCTCCACCTCTATGGATTTCAATTGCCATCTCCAACATTATGTGAGAACCTTTTGCACACACTACCAATTTTTTTTCCCTGAAAAATGCAGGCCAAAATTTATGTTAAATACTCCACTTGCCCTTATGCTATTTCAAAAAATTTATTGTAACCTATCTGTCTAGATATAATGCATAACAAATCTTGTAGTATTAGTTATTAGTACAAATCCTTCTGTTAGATTGGCTAAATTCAGTGAGCTGACTAACTTTTGACCATTTATTTAATAACTTGTGTCACATTAAAGGTAAAATTTTACGTATAAAATCATTTTTTTACAAATTTTTATTAACTTAAAATAATTAACATCTTAAAATCATTAAAAAAATCGCTAATGAATTCAAATTTTATTAAGTTAAAAAATTGAAAAATTGAAAATTTTGAAATTAGTTTTTTAAAATAATTTACGAAATCAGTTTTTAATATAATTTATTTTAACTTAATAAAACTTTGAAAATTAGTTTTTTAAAATAATTTATTTTAACTTCATAAATTATTAAAAAATACGTTTATTTATGATTTTATAATCATAAATTTATTTTAACTTAAAAAATACATTATAACTTAATAATTTACAAATTATTTTAACTTAATAAAAATTTGAAAAAAATATTATTAACATTTAATGATTAAAAAATTGACAAAAAAACTGATTTCGAAAAAAATATTATTTTTTATCCTTCGGATGACGTGTGTCACCTCTTGATTGGTTATACGTGTGTCGATAGATGGAGGTTCTGCAAATAAATTTACAATAAAACCTACAATACAAAATTGATTTATAAAGATTTGATCTTATTTACTATTATAATATTTATTGCTAAATAAATATATAACTTTTATTAACATTTATTGGCTTAACAATAAGTTTTTTAACCTGAATGAACTTTAATCATGTGGGTTGATCTGTATTAGAGATAGTTTTTTTTTCTTTTTTTTTGATAATTTTCCCCTTAAATTTCACAAAAATATATTCAATATACATCTTAAACTAAAAGTTCATAATATAAACTTTTAATTGGTTCAAATAAATAATTAGTCATTGTGCCACCGCATTACGAGGGCCACACATCATTCAGTGAAAATTACTTTATTTAATCTACGTATCTTATGTTTATTGGTCTAATCTATTGATGAAATGGTAGACTTAATGCACTTAATGGTTTCTCACTGAAGTGTGGGTAAAGTAACAATCACGGGTATTTAAATTGTTAAAATTTAAAATCTTGTGATTTGGACGGTCTAATATAGTGAGCTTACAATCATTTGCAAACTTTATGCGTGAAAAAGGAAATGTTACTTAGACATCATTCTTGTTTTAAGAACATATATTTTGATGCTTGAAACTAGCACTCAAGCATAAAGGGATATACTTTTATGTTTGAAAAAGAAGAGATTTGGAAAGAAAGGATCCAATTACATATAAATTTTGAGCCGAGGAACTGAATTGAATAATTTTAAAATACAAGGACTTAAATGTACATTAGGTGGAAAGAAATGAGAATCCTAAGGGAGGCTGCTGCATTTCCCTATCTCCCAGCTTTAAACAGCTTCAATCCCTTTCTCCTTCTTGACAATGGGACCAGCATTACCAGACTCAAGAATCAGACACCACAAACCAAAGAAAGGTCACCAAAGAACCAGCAGCTAAAAGCAGCTCATGGCCACATGCTACCAACCTGTCTTATCTTATCCTTTTCCAGCATTTAATGTCCAGACCCCCCTGGGCCCACACGGCTTTGTCACGTTTTGTTCACGTTTGCTTGAGTGTCGTTGTTACAATTTTTTGATGCTTAGAAGGCATGAAATGCTCAATATATTCTTTTTCAGCATTTACTTACAGCCTAGAGTCCTTTGGGCTCACACCCAACCTTTTTGGGCTTGTGACTTATAGTCGTGCTGTACAAATCCAACATGGGCTATCTAAGGCCAGCTTTCATATACTAATGGGCTTTGCAATGTTATTAATGATCATAAATTCATATGCTTAGATGCTTTGTTTCTAAAAACAAAATGCAGTACTCGGACATCCATTCACCAAAGGAAAAAAATAAAAATAAAAATAAAAATTGAAAAATCTCAATGCGAAATATTCTTCAAATTTAACTAAACTAGAGCATCTTAATTCCATAATTTTTAATATTAAATAATTAGTATATTAGTTTTAAATCTAATATTACAAAAAAATTTAAAAGAGATGGGTTTTTATTATTTTAAACTATTTATACACAAATATAACACTATTCATTTGAGACATTTTTGTGATTTAAAATTAGTCGTCTTTTTTTTATTTTAAATTTTTTTAGGCATTTATTTTACCCACAATAATGTTCACTTTTTTTTACTATACATCGACTGGTTTTTTTTTTTTTTTTATATAGTAATTTTGAGGGATGCATTTTATATTTAAAGTTTGATCATATTGTTCTTTGGCCTCTCATTTTTTTAATAATTTTTATTTCAACTCATAACTTTATTTGTATTGTAATCAAATCCCTAACCGCCAAAAAGAAAGAGAAACGAGGAGAGAAAGACCCATCTATGAATATTTTTAATAAATTATTAGACTATTGTTATTTGTTTTTTTTTTTAAATGATATAATTTATATGACGAATTCTTTAAATTTTTAAATGATAGAAGCATGATTATATATATGAATTTTGTAGAATATGATTATTTGCTCTTGTTTTTTATATATGATTTGTACAATGAATTCTTTGAATTTTTAAATGATATATAATCAATCTTTTTAAAAAATAATATACAACATATATAAGAAAAGTTTTTAGGTAATTTGTCTCGGATTGTTTTGAAAAAAATTATAAGAAACGTTTTTAGTTAAGAATCTATAAATTTTCAAATTTTTTACAAGTTTAGTGTTAATAATTTGAATATAGAAGAATAAATCATGCACTTTTTAACAAAAAATTTATAAAAAAAAATCATGAATAATTTATTTAACATAGAATTAAAAAAACAGTTTTTTTTTACCTTCTATTTAATATATTTTAGTAGATCCACAATGTAGCATGTATTATCAAACTGAAATTTGTTTGATCCTTAACGGAGTGCAAGTAAAAAATTAGAAGCTAAAAAAAAAAAAGATTTTTGATTTCTTGATTTAGTATAAATATTTAAATTTCACCATTTTGTTCATTGTCTGTCATCAAATTTAATTTTTTTTTAAAAAAAATACTCATACTACCTCGTGATGATTAAAAAAAAAAAAAAAGGTCATTCTACTATTTTTTTTTCTTGTTAAAGAATTTGTTTTATCAGTGTTATTCAAAAATTAATAAAAATGTACAAAATAAAAGATAACGAATTTTCTATAAAAAAAATTACTATTATAATACATGGTTTGTTTAATTTTTAAATTTCAACTAACTTGTTGACTTGAAATAATATTGAATTTTTAATAATCAAATTTAACTTTTTTCTCAAAATACAACATTATAAAAAAAGGCAATTGCTTTGCAGAGAAGCAATTGAAGAGGTAGCTGGGCTTCTAATTAGTCTCCTCGATGACTTATTAATGACAAGTAAATTATAAATTCATCCTTTTATCTTTTAGAAACAAATTAATTATTTTTTCATGTTTTAAAAATTAATTATTTAGTCATTTTCATTCATTTTATGCTCTTTTTTTAATTTTTTTTTAAATAGGTGTTATGAAAAGATTGATGAAAAAAAAGATTTTTTTAGAATAAAGTAAAATTAAATTAAAAATGATCAAAATTAATAAAAAAAACCAAATAATTAATTTTTGAATCTTAAGAGACTAATTAATTCATGTTTGGAAAGCAAAAGGATTACTTTAAAATTAGCTCTATCAATGAGTGAAGGTTAAGAAAAATCAAAACTCCCTGATTTATGTTCACTTATTTTTGAATTTTAGTAAGTTTATATATTTTTCTTTTTCTCTGTTTAATTAATTTATTCGATTTTATTCGGTTTAAATTTTTGTTTTATTGAAATAAGCATTTGAAGAAAAATGAAATTAAATAGGCATTTAAAAGAAGGGTCCGCTTTTTGTTTTATCAATTGAAGTTGATAACCGTCAATTTATTACCAAATGAAGCCAAGGGAGAGATCCAAATATATCTTTTCTTTTGTTGTTTTTCAGAATGCCTTAAATAGCAACTGCAATAAATAAATAAATAAATCTTTTAGGTGAATATTGGTGTTAAAACAAAAAACAAAAAACGGAGAGATGAAGATAAACAGACAAAAAAAAAGAAATAAAAAAAGAAATAAAAGTTCACACATGTTGAAGAACCCAAACCAAAGCTTTCAATGTTTTTGCTAATCTAGCTTAGAATTATACAAATTAAACATTATTCAATGCTAATCCGTCTTAAAGAATGATAGATTTAATTAGATTGATGTAAAAACTAATTCGAGAATGCTTTATTATTAATAAACATAAAAAAATAAATTAAAGTTGTGACTGATTCATAACATGTATAAATAATATTAGTGAAATTAAAATGATTTATTTTTTTATCATGAACATAAATGATGATCATAAATGATAAATGATTGTTGTGAAAAGTGAATTTCGTAAGTAATATTAAAGAAGCTGGGCTAAGTCTAAAATAAAAAGAGAAGATGGAAGAACCCACAGAAATTGACAAGGACACAAGTAAAGAAAATCAATGGGCTGTCTTCCAGGAAAAAGGTCCATTAATGCAAAGGACTAATGGGCTGACTATAATCAAGTTAGGAAAAATCCAATAAAACAAAATTAATGGGTTCTTCGACATACAAAGACCAACATAGAGAAACAGAAAAATCAATTATTTTTTTCTTATTAAAACAAATAGGTTAGTTTATCAAGAAATCCTAAAATTCTACGAACTTCATTTCTCACTTTGCAAAATCATTTTTTTTCTTTGCCAATACTATAGTTAAATAAAAATTCAAATTCAAATTAATTTAACTCTCTCATTTTTTTCGTGACCCCTTTCCACTATCATATCTCTCTCTTTTTTTTTTTTTTCCTTTGATGTTTTCCCATCTTCAAGCTATCATTCCATTCGTAATGAAGAAATTTCAATTATTTCTTTTTCAAATCTTTTAATAAAAAAAATTGGATAAGTAATGTAGAAATGATAGTGTGAGAGAGTATTAGAAACAACAATAATAGCAATTGATACTTTTATTAAAAAATATTTTTTAACATATTTATTTTTTGCTTTATTTACTCTTGTATTGTTAAAGAATCGTTAGATACTAATGATGAAAAAAAATTATTTTTTTATCATGTTTGTTTTATTGAAAAAAATGTTTTCCTTTTATGATTTTTTCAAGACCTCATGTTGTTAACTGTATCTTTGAATCAGACTCCACAAATATTATCAATTAATTGGCTTAACAACGCCAGCTGCACTCCTTGCAAGCCCAAATTCCTCCTCCATGCCATCAACTCTGTGAAACGCTACTTTGCTATTATCTCTTTTATTCATGCTCCAAGAGAAGCAAATACCACAGCAAATTTCCTTGCGCAGGTTGTTGTCCCAAGAGCAGAGGACCTTATTGCTCGACTATGATTTTTTAAGCTCTAGATTTCTTCTTTGTGTTGAGGTTGATCTGTCTTATTTTGGTTCATATGGAAGTTTTCATCTTATCTATGCTCTTTTGTTGATTGCGAAAAGCAATCTTACTGGTTTAGCAATTAACCTCGGCAAATTTAAACTCTGATGACATTAAAAAAAGAAAAAAAAACAAAAAAACAAAGAAAGAAACAAATGGAAATCATATATATCCATGGCTGGTTTTAATCTTTGACACCCTCAAATTTAAAACAACAGAAATAAATTTGGTTCGAAGGTTTTAAGGGTCAAATAATCAGCTTTTGGGGCCATAATAATATTGGTGAGGACGAGATTTCTCTACTCAACATCCATCCATGAACAGTCACACAATAATATTTATCTCAAAGTATGTTTGATCACCAATCTTCTCAATATAACACAAAATTTTCGGGATCAAATTAGAAGATATTCAAGTTGGTAAGGAAGGACAAGGCAGGCGTGATTTCTTCAAATATTAGCATTAGTGTCAATAGACATATTCAGTTTTTTCAAGAGAAAATTACTTACCTTTAGTCTCAAAAAAAAAAAAAAAAAAAAAAAAAAAAAAAAATATATATATATATATATATATATATATATATATATATATATATATATTATAGCTCTACTCAATCCTTATACAAACAAATTGTCGAACTTCAGGACAAGTTCAATTGGACATAACAATCTATGCTTATTGACCAAATATTTGGAGGACAAGTCTCAAATTTGTCTCTCCTCGGAGTAGATAATCAAAGTGAAAACTTTCAAGCTTATTAAAATGGTTTCTTTTAGTTTTAAAACTATCTCATTCAACATAAGCTTATCACAATTTACTTATATAAATCTCTATGATTTATTGCTCAGTGCTATCTTTAACATTTGTTTACATAATGATACAAAATATTGTTATAATCGAATTAAATTCACCAAAAAAAAAAAAAATCAAAATTGAACCACTTTGCAAAACATTGTCCTTAGATATGGATAGGCCTTCATAATGCAGTGGCTCAATGACTAATTTTTAATTTAAACCAATTAAAAATTCACATCATGAACTTTAGTTGGAAACAGTAATTATATGTAAAGAGAAAAATATCTAAAAAAAATATCTCTAAATTACTCAGCAAATAAATGTTAAAAAAATATATATTTAGCAATAAATATTATAATGATAAATAATGATAACCATAACCACCGTTTGTGGATTCCAGCAAACTCAATTCCAGCCTCATTGAGCTTTGTTGCAGAGTGTATTCGTTTCCATATTCGATGTTCACTTGGAGAGGAGGGAGAGTAACAGTAGTGTGTGAAATCAAGCAAATGAAAAAATTCTCGACTCTTGCTGGTTAATCCATCTAGTTTGAAGAAACAACGAGCAAGATCAACTAGATTTGGTAGATCGATATGATCACTATTAATATTGTCTTTAATTACCTGAAGTAACCTGTCAAGAACAATGAATGGAATCTGGTTCTGTAGCAGTGCCAAATCATGTCGAACAGCTAAAGTCATCTGAGGATTAAGAAGGATGGGATCATCAGGTATAAATTCGTTCATATAATATCTCAAGAAAAGCTCAAGTATAAAGCAACCATCAACTGACAACATCCTGACAAGTTCAGGTTTTGTATATTCAACTTTTTCTTCATAGCAACCACGAACAATTTCATCCAAAGCTGAAGTAGTATGGGTACAAATATCTAAAGCTTCTGTTTCATCACGTGTTCGTTCAAGCAAGGACAGCATATAGGCTAATTTGTGTTTCTCCATAGCCTTCAAATTCTCCTTTCCATGGTGAACAGGTCCGATTGAGATGATTAGAGGACTGTAAGAATTATTTTTCTCAATCCAGGATCTGTCTGGAACCCGACAAATAGGTAGATCATTTAAACCAGCTATGTCCCTTTTTAAATCAAATTGGAGGTCAATCAGCCAACTATCATCTTCTGCAACTTGAGCTGAAGTTTTAGCCATAAATTCCAACTGAACTGATTCGAAAGAAATCACTCTTGGCAAAGAATTAGAAAAATATGTATATATAGTTTTCTAACCACGTTATTCTACACTAGTTTCTTTTGCGTTATCAATAGCTAAAAACTGGAAATGTCCATAATCTCAAACCACAGCAAATATTATTTATATACAAAAATAAATAAAGACTTTAAGGCACGAAATCAATTGCTATTCGTATACAGAATTTTCGAATAATAATAATAAATGACGTTGGCATTTATAGGAATTTAGTTTGGCATGATGGATGACAAGAACTAATTAACCTGCAAGATCGATATGAATATAATTATTACTCATGCTCGTATTAGAACGTAGCTAATAAATAAAAAAATAATAATGACTTTAAGGAACAAAATCAATTGCTATTCATGCTCTGATCTTATCATTCATATAGAGATTTTTCCCATAATAATAATAATAATAATACATGGTGTCGGCATTGATAGGAATTTAAATTGGCACGACGGAAGACCAGAGATTATCTTATTAGGTGGAAGTCTCTTAAAAAAGTGTGGAAGATATACTCTAATATACAAATATAAATGAATAAATTATAAATTAATTAGTTACTCTATTTTCAAATCAAAGCAAAGCAATTTTTTTAGCGTTAGAACACTATTTAACTATTGTGAAAAAAGAAACATTCTTTGAAATACATTCTCATTTTAAGAAAATATATTTTGATGGTTGAAACTAGTACTAATGCATAAAGGGATATATTTTTATGTTTGAGATTTTAATTTTGATTTATTTTTTAACTAAAAAATTAAATAAATAAATAAATCGAACTGAACTTTTTTCGGTTTTTCGGTTTTGATTCATTTTTTTTTTAATTTAGGTTAGGTTTAAACAGAAAACCAAATTTTAATATTTTTTAAGATTTTTAAAGTTTTAAAATAACAAATTATTATTATCTTAACATTATTATAGATATCGATAGACTGAAAACGTTTTTGATCATTTGGTTATTTTAAAAAATATTATTATTTTAGAGACATGAGATGCTCAATATATTCTTTCTCAGCGTTTACAGCCCAAAGCCCCTATGACCACACAAGACTTTTTTGGGCCTGGGACTTATAGTCTTGCTGTACAAATCCAACATGGACTGTCTAAGGTCAGTTCATATACTACCATTTCTAATGGCTACATATGCTTTGTTATTATTACTTAAAATAAATAAATAAATCTCAATGCCAAATATTCTTCCAATTTAACTAAACAAGACCACCGCTAATTTCATAATTGATAACATTAAATAAATAGTATATTAGTTTTAAATCTAACATATAGTAGCTACATGAAAAAAGTTTTGATCATTTCATGAATTAGTATACTATATATTTAAATTTCACCATTTTGTTCAGTCTCTATCATCAAATTTAATTTGTTTTAAAAAAAAATTACTCACACTAACTTGTGACTGTCTAATAAAAAAATTACTCACACTAACTTGTCACACTAACTTGTGACACTATTTATTTTCTTCATAAAGAATTTGTTTTTATTACTGCTATTCATTAATAATAAAAATATCTAGTATAAAAGATAATGAAATTTATATAAAAACTACTGTTATAGAACATGGTTTGTTTATGAAAATTACTATTTACATAAAAGGTAATATATATATATATATATATATATATATATATCCTTGTTATAAATTAAAAATTCTTTCTGAAAATTTCTCAAAAATTTGGTTCTCCTTCAAAGAAAAAATTAGTTAAAGAAGATCGAGTAACACTCACAAAGCAGCAAGAGCAGAACGTGACATATATAGAATAATAAAAAAATATACATATATTATAGCTTTATTAAGATAAAGATGAAGTTCATAAATATAGTATATGAAAAGAATACAAAATTCAAAAGAGTAAAAGATATTTTCTTAATTAAGAAAATTGAGTATGGGAAAAACATTTTTGGATAAGTTTTGACCTATCAGACAACACGGTTTAATGGCATAATTTATTTTCAAGCTATTGGGAATGTGGTAAAATAAAGCTTATATTATTAATTTAAACTATTTGAACTTCAAACTATTAGTTTTTTTAACAAAATTTATCTTTTCCTGTTATATCTAGAGGTCAATATATATATATATATATTCAAAAATTAATTTTTTTAACAGCATTAAATAAGAATAATGTTTTTATTAGTTAATTTTTATTCAAATCTATACATAAATTGTAATTTTATTTTTTGAATACATTCTTATTTTTTTAATTCTTGATAAATATTCTGTTTTAAATTATTACAAGTTTTTATTTAAGAATTAATGCATGAAAAATATTTTTTTAAAGTAAAAATTTATGAAAAATATAAACATTAATTAAATAAATAAAAATTAATGAAAAATTTAAAAAATTTAAAAAATATATATTTTTTATCCGATTCGCAGCCCGGATAAACTGCTTGTTGTATTGAAACAACAGTAAAAGAGCTAAGCCTCCTCATGAAGGATTAAAACTTTCATTTGTTGGGCTTTTTGAGTCATTCTACGGAGATAAACTATATAGAAGCCCACCCACTTCAAATAATGTGATGTGACTTTAAATATTTTATTTTATTTTCATTCAGATTTTATAATTTGATTGCCTCGTTTCATGCCTTCCACCTCACAAGATAACCTAGTCTTCCCTCATGCCTTCCACCATTTATTATTAATATGAGCATGAATGGTAATTATATTTCATTTATTATTATTGTGGAAAAAATCTTTATGCGAATTATTAATATGAGCATGAATGGCAATTATATTTCATTTATAATATATCCAGAATTTACTAAATCTCCTCTTTGCGAAGCACCTACGTGGCTCTCCTATAACCCTAGAATCACCTACTAATCCAACGGCTGCAAAATGAAAACAGAGAGATATAAGGCTGTGCATTTCACTTGTATCCATCCGTCAATACATCTCTCTCCCAGAAGACATAAAAGAAATTAACACAGAAAATCTCTAGAAATCAACCAAACAAACCAAAGTTGCTATCTTTATCTTTTCAATTTCTTCACGTCTTTGCATTTCTTCAGGATTCAGGGCAAATTTATGGCAGCTCAAGGTGCAGATGATGATGATGCTTGGCTGATTGACATGCAAAATGATATCAAAAAAGACTTCGCTAGTTTAGAACCGATACGTACTGGTTATACCATTTGTCGGGTTCCAGACAGATTCTGGATTGATAAAAAGAACGCTTACAGTCCTTTAACCATCTCAATAGGACCTCTTCACCATGGAAAGGAGAATTTGAAGCCTATGGAAAAAAGCAAATTGGCCTATATGGTATCGCTGTTTGAACGAACACGCGATGAAACAGAAATTTTAAATATTTGTCTGCATGCTACTTCAGCTTTGGATAAAATTGTTCGTGATTGCTACAAAGAAGAAGTTGAATATACAACTCCTGAACTTGTCAGAATGTTGTTTCTTGATGGTTGCTATATACTTGAGCTTTTCATCAGATGTCATATGAATGACTTTAGAGATGGCGATCTCTTCTTTGTTAATCCTTATTTAAACATAGGTGTCCGACGTGATTTGGTATTGCTAGAGAACCAGATTCCGTTCATTGTTCTTGACAGGTTGTTTCAGGTCATTAAAGACAATAGCAATAGCGATCATATTAACCTACCAAATCTAGTTGACCTTGCTCGTTGTTTCTTCGAACTAGGTAGACCAACCAACGAGGGTAGAGAATTTTTTCATTTGCTCGATTTAATACACTGCTGTTACTCTCCCTCCTCTCCGAGTGAACATCCAGGTCCCAATCGAACATGGAAACGAATACACTCCGTAACAGAACTCAAAGAGGCTGGCGTAAAGTTTGCTGTTATTGAGCATGAAAATGATAAAAAGAAAAGCCTTGAAAATGGTCAAAAGAAAAGTCTATTTGATTTGGAATTTAAAGATGGTGTTATAAAAATGCCACGATGGCGTGTGGAGAGTTCAGTACTCTTCCAAAATCTCATTGCGATGGAGCAATGCTTGACTATCCGTGAATACTACATGACATCTTATGTGTTGCTTATGAATTATCTTCTTGACACATCGAAAGATGTTGAATTTCTTGTGACGAAGAAGATCATTCCACGCAATTTTGCAGATTATGAACAAGTTGCAGATCTCTTCAATAATATTTGTGAGGAGGTTGTTGTGCGAGACTTTTATTTTGGAGGATTATGCAACCAAGTGGCTGACTACTGTAAATCAAAGAGGCAAGCTTGCTGTTGTGTGAGGCGTTTATCTTGCAGTACTATGCGAACAAGTGGATGAGTACTACGGATCAAATTGATATAGTACCATGTTCTATTACTGTTCTAGTATCTATTGTTAAATAAATATTTTGTAACATTTATTTCATTAACAATTTTTTTAACTCAAAGGAACTTTATGTAGATTAATCCAGTTTTTGAGAGTTTTTTTTTTAATATATATATTTTTCTCCTTACATATTAAATAAAAATATTTAATGTAAGTCTTAAACTAGAGTACATGATATGAACTTTTAATTGTTAAACAAAAAATTAGGCATCTCTCTTTGATGCGTATACCTACAAAAATACTTGCCGGGTTGACGAACATAACCATAAATCGTCATTTGACAGGTCGAGTGGCACATAACCACTGTCTTGGAGTCTCAAGATCATCGTGTGTTGTTGTCGGGACATGCCAACTACCATTTTCTGACTCCTGCATTTACAGAACCATCAAACACCAAGATCTCTTAGAAATTTCTAGTGTATTAGTGAAAAGGATTGGTGAAATTGCACAATTAATGCTGGTTGAACATCTCACCTGAATAACAATTGAATAAGTGGGAGGCATGTGCAAAGCAATTCCAGATCGTGATACTGACAGCCGAACCTGAAAATTTTTCAAAGAAAGATGAGTTTATATAATGCATGGCACTAACAATTTCCTCTTCTATCAAACGTAGTGACTATGTTTTTATTGATGAACTTCGATTAATCACATCACAGTCCTGGGTGAGTTTAAACTGGACACTCTGAACTCCAAGTAGACTTTGGCACATTCTTTAGTGTCCCTTTATGTAATACATGTATTAGATTATATGAAATTCAGTAGCCGTCAGTAGCCGTCTTAAGAAATGTGATGTAAAAATGCTCTAAAATATAAGCAATACTTGTATGTACACAAGAAGCCAAATGCAAGCTGCTGATAATGATCCAACAAATCAAGCAACACAAGACTATTTAGATAAATGGATCCGGAGGAAAATATGGGAGCCCATGCATGCACAACATGGTGGGCTTATCACCAGAAGGTACATAGTTTAGGAAACACATATAAACCGAAACAAAGAGGTTTCCCCCACTTGTCAATCAGATCAAAGCTAGTATTGCAAATCCATGAACCAACACAGCATAAAAGATACATGCATGCCACATGCATCTGAGAGCGTTGAAGTACCTGATGCTTTTCCTTCCATCTTGGAAAAAAGGAAGTCCCGAGCAACTGGAACAAGTGGTCCCTCATTTCATCATTTGTCATCAATAAACACTTGCAACTAACAGCAGCATATAACCAGTACCTGTAAATGAAAAATGGCACAAATTCAGCGAAGGAACTATGAAGGAGATAATGCCAAACAAAATCCACATAAATTGCTAGGATGCACCGTTGCATTGGTTGTGACACTTTATGAAGCTCTATTGCATGAAAATTGTTTAGAAAGTGATGGTTTTCAAAGATTCTACCCTGTCTACTCAAATACCAAATAACTGAAAACATTCCATACTTAACAAGTTGTTATCTTCCCGTCTCCCAAAACCTATGGCATGCAGCAGAAATAGCAACTCCACTTGTTAGGACAGACCCAAACCTCAGCTCTAGAACAGATTGAATTAATGCAAAATTTGATCCTTTCAATTCAAATCAATAAAAATTACCTTGCAGAAAATCCTAGATTCAAGGTTTGATTTCCAACAACGGTGGATAAAAATCGTTCGTCTAGTATGCAATGTTGAAGAAGAATTTTCTTAGATCTCCACACATCAAGGCAATTTCCTTGGGATTGGATATGTTTCTTGCTTCTTTGTCCTGTAACTTCAGGGGCTTTTAGTTTCCTTGGCTAATATTCAGCAAGATAGAAGCATCCTTCTGGTTGAGATTAACTTCTTTTTCTAACAACCAAATTTATTCATGAAGAGGTTATTGTGCTTTCTTTTTTTGGCGAGAGAGAGAGAGAGAGAGAGAGAGAGATTGGACATCCAATGGTAATTCTAACACGTTGGTTTGTTGAGAGTTTTGAAAGAGGAAAAGAATTGCAAGAACTTCTGGTACTGTACCATAAGTGCAGTCTTTTGGTATTTTTGGATGGAGAACTATGCAAGAATTATAAATAATTACACAGCACTGAGACATGTATTATAAGATAGGATAGAATTTAGTTTCGCTTCACTTGGTGTAATTTTGTGGAGGCTTTTAGGAGAAATTACTTAGTTGATATTGACAGGGACTGGCGTGCCTTATTTTTTGTTTTTGGTTTTAGGTTGTCTTCATTAAAGACTTTATAGCAAAGTACATGCAAAAAACAAGGCAACCATGTATGAATACAAGTCATATAGTTCAAGGAATGCACACTCACCAATCATCATTGGAACCTGCCGGAGTAGCATAAAGTGCACCAGAATTTTTCCACCTTTCTAACAACTTCTTGTTATAAGGACTCTTAGCTGGACCCCCATTTACACGACTTTGGTGCAAAATAATGAGTGGCAATTTCTTGGATGGACTTGTATCACGTAATCGATTTACAACAGTATTAAGCTACAATACAAAAGAAGCATTCAGCATCCCATCGGCATATCTTGCTCTGAAGAAAATAAGAGATGTAATCTCGCAGACCTTGTTCGACATGCCACTTACCTGGGCAAAGTTGAAAGTCTGTTGATTGATAAGACTCACATTAGCTCCATCTACAACTGCATCAAATGGACCATGCTTCTGCAGCCAATCCTGAACGAGTTCACTGTGTACATCAGCTAATTGCTTATTGGCAATTAATTTATGTTTATTAGCCTTAAGCATAAGCATACAGACAAGGCGAGTATCCATCATTTTCTACCATTCTTAAAAAATTCAATAACCTCAAAAAGCTACAGAGTGTGTTGACATTTTGATGTGGTAAGAAGAATCTAATCATAAACAAACTAGTGATATAAGAATGATCACATAAACCCATACAACCAATTCTCATAATGTTAAGCACATATTAATTAAATTTTTCATATGGAAACTCTTTTTTATGCGCAAGCACTTGCAACAGAGAAACCATAAGCTTTAAAATTTATTGAACCTTATATTGAAAAGGAGTTGTGTCATACCTGGAACCGAATAAAATCGGCCTTAACCTCTCTTCCAAAAGCCAACTTAGATAAGGAGATAGCAAAGTTTTCTGTCTCTTTTGGATCGATGTCAATACAAGCAAGCCTCTCACCACAAGAACAACAAACACCCTTCTTATCCATTTGAGTTCTGACCACTCTCCACTGCCCGCTCCCTAACCACCCTTGTCCATGCCACCCTCCTCCTCCCTTCACAACTCCTTCCTTCACCTTGCTCACATCCCAATTCTCCTTCCCAATTTTTGCAGCATGCTCAGACTTAAACCAATCTTCAATAACTGCTACAGTTGACTCTGTAACCTGCCTCACAGAGGTTCGCAACCGATGCAGCAACTCATACACCTTGTCAGCATTGTTTACATTGGCACTAATTTTCAAAAGAGCAGAAAGCTCAGGCTCTTCAGCCACAACCCCAGATTCAATCATATGTGCGTCAACTTCATAAGCTTTACCAACCATCCCTTTCTTACAAAATCCAAACAACGGCGGACCATAAGACCTCAACTTTGGCAGAATACCAAAACCCTGCATTTGCTTTACCAAATAAAACGCCATTTCTGGATCTTCCATTGCAGAAGCCAACCTTGCTGCATTTGTAAATGTAGCCTCATTAGGAGAAACCTTATCAATAATCATCTGCTGAAATATCTCAAACCCCCTTTTACAAACCAACTTCAAATCCCTTCCATTCTCACCTCCACTTTGAGAGCACAAATAAAGCAACACATTATAATGGTGTTGATTAAGCTCAACCCCATTACTCCTCGCCTCATCATACAACCTAAGCCCTTCAGCAACATCACCAGCCTTCGAACACATATCTAGCTTAAACCTAAGCACTCCCTCCGGTGCCTCTCTACGTGCCTTCTTTTTTGACCTGCTAGAAACTACATCCCCACCCACAGCGTTCTCTTTACTCTGCGGTGTTGCAGAGATTGCCAAGTTGCAGAATTTAGCCTTTTTATTCATAAACAAATTATGGGTTCCAATAAAGTTTGAATCTTTTAAGGGTTTTGCAAATAAATAACTATGATTACAACGAATGGGGCTATTCTTAAGGAATGAAAGCAAATGGGTTTTCTTAGTAAAGTAAGAGAAAAGATTTGGAAAGGTTTTTGTATTAAAAGAAGGTACCAAAAAAGTGCTTCTTTTACACAGCAGCATTACTGACAGAAACTGATAATTTCCTCTTTCAAATTATTATATTTCTAACAAGCAATAGCCAATTATATACTAAATTAACAATAAAAAACTACATGAAATTAAAAAAAAATAATAATAATAATTTTAGAAGGCAAAGTTTCTCCATTTTTCAGCAGAGAAAAACACTAAAGTTTGAATTTTGATGCAATAAAGAATCAGAAAATCAGCGATTTGAGAGAAAGTGAGAACCTTGAGGTTTTGGCATATTTTGAAATCCTTGAATTAAAAGGAGAAGGGGCTGATGCAGCTGATTTGATAAAACCTGATCCGGGTGAAAACCCAGAAACGACAAACAATGTGGGTTGTCCGTTTTCGGGCCAGACAGTCCGTCTGGGCTATGGGCATTGGGTCATATAAGAAAATGCCAATCAAGTATGACATAGAGAAACCTTATTTAATCATCCTTGAGGGACTAATTTATAATTTACTCATCCTCTGACAGCCCTGATCCTTATATATTAACCGTTTCTTTTCTCTCCCTTTCATTCACAGACATTAATTTTCTCAAATATCAGTGTCTTAACCTTAAAAACCCCACCTCAATGTATGCAACAACACTCCGCACCGTCTCCCCAGTCTTTTCATCGCCGGCGACTCTGCGGGGAATACCAATCAGAGCCGGCCTGTCAACATTTGCGTCTGAGTCAGTTCGAGTTGACGCGAGGATGAAGTCACCGAGTCTGTACGATATTCTCCGAGTTAAAAGAACGGCGTCGCAAATGGAGATTAAGAGCGCCGTTCTTTATGTGTGTTTTGAAACCTTATTTAATAAATAAGTATATAAATATTATATATGATAAAGAGAATGAGCGACGCTGAATATGCAAGCTTGGGCCTTCAGACCCAAGTCACATGCTTGGGCCTTCAGACCCTAACCAATGGATCATGGCCTACCGTCGACCATATATATATATATATATATATATATATATATATATATATATATATATATATATATATATATAAGAGCTGTCGATTCAAGATTTAAAAAACAGAAATTAACTAAATAAACTAAAATAAAATAAAGACTGTTTCAAACAGTATTTAAACACTTATAATTTATCATTTATTAATTTTTTACATTTTGATCATTGATCTTTATAAATTAATCTTTCGATCTATATTTTTATTTATTCATTCATTTTGATCCTTGGATGAGAAAGAAGAGAGGAGGCAGTGTCAAATCTTAGTGATCATTGATCTTTGCCAACTCATAATCACAATATATATAATTTTTGCTAAGGAGTAACGAGGCAGTGTCAAATCTTCTTTACAATCTGGACAAAGAAAATCTTAGTGATGCTATTTCTGGGGGTGTTGTGACGAGCTGAATGAATATTGCAGAAAGCGTAGGCACAAGTGGAAGGCAATCTCGAAGCAAGTTTATTTCAAGAATCCATACAAATTTTTAATATTTAATCGTTCTCATACAAACGGTGTGCTTTCAATTGTGGTAAATATTAATCGCTTTGTACTTTTTTTCAATTCTTACTCTAAATTGACGAAGAACAAGAAGCGGTGCAGAATTGCAGGAGGAGAAAGGGACGAAAAAAAACAAGAAACTTCGTCAGAAAAAATTCAGAGCAAATAGACCCCACCTTCATAAAGTTGATTTTAGGCCTACTGGGAAGATTCTAAATTGACGAAGACTTTGCATAGAACAAGAAGCGGTGCAAAAAATAAAAAAAATTCATCAGAAAAAATCTAGAGCAAACAGACCCCACCTTCATAAAGTTGATTTTAGGCCTAGCCGGAAGAGTCTAAACTGACGAAGACTTTGCGTGGAACAAGAAGCGGTGCAGAATTGCAGGAAGACTTTGTGTACAATATGAGAAGAGGTGCAAAATCATAAAGTTTATTTTAGGCCTATTCGGCAGAGGCTAAATTGATGAAGACTTGGAGGTCAACGAAGGCTTTGTGTACAATATGAGAAGAGGTGCAAAATTGGAAAAGGAGGAAAAGAAAAACAGACAACAAACTTTTTCAGAAAAAATTCAGAGCATATCTTGTGTAAAAAATTTAGAGCTGCCTTTCGAAAAGGCTGCTAAGTGTTCTTTGACAGTCTACAAGGAAAGTTTTGAAGTAGTGAATCTAAGTGTGTAAGTTTTAATTTAGATAAGCTATGTATTTATTATGTTTTGCTTTCTTAAGTAGTCAAATTATCAGCTTTGATTCCTTATTAACATTCTTGTGCTGGTCTGAGATTCTGTTGTGTTTGATTCTGATATTTTCTAGAATATTTTGAATTTGTTTGAACGATTGTACTAATCAACGATTCGATGATTGATTTCTATCTGGTCGATTATATATTGTGACAAACAGAATACTCTTGAAATTCCACTGATTGCATATAATTTTTCTGTTTTAGTCTTTAAATCTAAATTGATTTCAATATTACTTGTGCATGACAATATATTGTCAAAGCTTTTATCTTCGTGCTGAGATCATTCACTTAAAGTTCCTTCCATCTCTTCCAATACAAAATTATTGTTAAATTTGCCAATCACAGTTAGTTTCTTTATATATATATATATATTCTGCAAGTTCATTGGCTTTCTGTAAGAATATTAGTTCTTGTTTAAAAGTTAATTATTTTCTTGTAGATCGATGCTATTGTAACTCTAAATAGAAAAAATTAGTGTTAAAGGACCATCTCACCTAAAAGCTTAAGTTGATAGGTGAGGCCCTATAATATAATTTATATTAGTCTCTAACACACCCTCAAGTGAAAGGCCCAACATTTGGGACATGAAACTTGCACATGTCCACATTGTCTTGTGCTTAATATTTGAGAAATTGGGGATGGTGAGACTTGAACTCAAGACTTCAAGGTCAACCAAGCTTTGATACTATGTTAAAGGACCATCTCACATAAAAGCTTAGGTCGATAGGTGAGGCCCTATAATATAATTTATACTAGTCTCTAACAGTTAGTTTCAAGATATTGATTAACTCACATGTTTGTTGATCATGTCAGTTAAGTAAATTATCCATCAAAATTCAGCTTTTGTAGCAAATTTCCTTCCTCATTTATTTGACGAGTAAATCATTTTTTTGTTAAAATTGGATCTTGACATATGTATTTTTCTTTTCTAATTAAGCACAAAGTAAGAGTTGGCTGTATAAATTTCAATCCCAAAAAAACTTTCATTTAAAAGAGTTAAATCATATCTTAAAACCTCATCTAAAAGATCAAGTTTTTGGGTTGAGATGTTTTTTTGACCCTTCTTTTTTTTTTTTTTTTTTTTTTTTTTTTTCAGCTCTCTCTCAATTTCTTTCTGTTATTAAGCATTTTTCACAATTATTAATCGACAACCTTGAACCTTCAGTCCTTTCTTTACACTACAATCAACATATTCCACTCCTGAATGTTGCTCAAGGGTGCCTTTTATAGCTGCCATGTTCTTTGAGTTTGAGTCATCTTCTTTTTCACCTAGACACTTGGACACGCTTATGATGTCTTTTTGAGAATAGGAATTTCATACATTTCGGGATGATACTCGTATGAATTTTGAAAATTATCTTTATACAGCCTTAGTCCAAGCAGGAATTCATCCATTTCAGGATGATGATGAACTTCCGTACAATCATGTTTGCACTGCTGGAGTTCTGGAAGTCAAAATTAAATTGCTCTCATTGACATACTATTAGCCGAAGATTTTAAAAGAAACTATTGAATAAGGATCAGAAAAGAAGAATTCCATTGACTCAGCACTCATAGATGTGAAAGTATCAAAAGTTATCAATTCGTTTGTTTCTGTAAAATTACTACTCAGCACACTCATATGTATTGTCTTAATTAAGGATCACTTGACATACATCCCTTCTCCAATTGCTGCATTGTTAAATTAATATTGCCTTATTTTCTGTAGCTTCCATGACAAAACCAGGATCTTCTCGATCTACAGTAAAAGGGGCCTATGATGTCTTTCTGAGTTTTAGAGGAAAAGATACTCGTAAGAATTTTACAGATCATCTATATATTGCCTTAGTCCAAGCAGGAATCCACACTTTTCGAGATGATAACGAACTTCCTAGAGGAGAAGAAGTCTCTAAACATCTCCTCAAGGCAATTCAAGAATCAAAGATATCGATAGTTGTCTTCTCAGAAGGCTATGCTTCTTCTAGATGGTGTCTTAACGAACTTGTAGAGATTCTTGAGTGCAAAAATAGGAATATTGATCACATTGTTCTTCCGATATTTTATGACGTTGACCCTTCAGATGTTCGAAAACAGACTGGCAGTTTTGCAAAAGCATTTGATAAACATGAAGAACAATTTAAAGAGAAGGCAAAGGAGTGGAGAAAATCTCTTGAGGAGGCCGGAAATCTATCTGGATGGAATCTCAATGATATGGCAAATAGGTATGCTTTTTCTTTTTATAGTTCACTTGTAGGCATCAATATGAAGTTGTTTATTATCAATTCAAGGCTTGTGAATTTATGCTCCAAGTTAGATTTGAATTATAATATTGAACGGTAACAAATTTCTTCGAGCAAGTTCACTTATTATCTTGTTACTGAGGACTTTTTTTATGCATGAACAGAAATGAATCAAAATTTATCCAGAAGATTATTGAAGATGTGTTGAATAAATTGGATCCCAAGTACTTAGATGTTACTCCACACCTAGTAGGCATCCATTCCATTGTCCATGATATTAGCAACTTTCTAAGTACAACAACAGATGATGTTCGCTTCATTGGCATACATGGGATGGCTGGAATAGGAAAGACAACCATAGCAAAAGTTGTATTTAACCAACTTTGTTATGGATTCGAGGGAAGCTGTTTTCTTTCAAATGTCACAGAAACATCAGAGCAACCAAATGGTCTGGTTTTATTACAAGAACAACTTCTTGGCGATATTTTAAAGGGGAATATTTGGAATATCAATAATGTTGATAGAGGAATGAATGTCATCCAAGAAAGACTTTGTCACAAAAGAGTTCTTGTGGTTCTTGATGATGTGGATCAATTGAAACAGCTAAATGTATTTATGCGAGAGCGAAGTTGGTATGGTCCTGGAAGTAGAATAATCATTACCACTAGAAATGAACGTTTGCTACTTAAAGTGGATAAAAAATATGAGGTCAAACAATTGAAAGGAGATGAGTCACTTCAGCTTTTCAGTTGGCATGCCTTTAGGGACAAAATTCTAGTGGAGGATTATGCGGAGCTTGCGTATGATGTTGTTGATTACTGTGGAGGACTTCCTTTAGCTCTTGAAGTTTTAGGTTGTTATTTGTTGGACAAAAACAAAGCTGAATGGGAAAGTGCCATTGATAAATTGAGAATAATTCCAAAGTGTGATATTCTGAAAAAGCTTAGAATAAGCTTCGACACACTTGAGGATGATAAACTACAAAACATGTTCCTTGATATTGCATGCTTTTTTATTGGTAGAAGGAAAGAATTTGTAGCAAAAGTTCTTCAAGCCCGTTGTGGTTTCAATCCAGAAGATGATTTGAGAACTCTCATCGAAAGGTCTTTAATAAAAGTAAATTATAGGGGTGAGATAAATATGCATGATTTATTACGAGACATGGGAAGAGAGATTATTCGTAAAATATCTCCTGACCGTCCTGGAAAACGCAATCGAATTTGGCATCATGAAGATGCATGGAATGTCCTCATCAAGCAGATGGTAAAAACTAAATGCTTATTCAGGATGTTATATGCAAAATCAGTCAGTGCTATCTCTTTGTTTTTTTTTTTTTCAAACTCCTTGCTGATCTTTAAAGAAATGCCTTTGTATAAATCTATTTTGAAACTATCATATGAGAGTTCTATTGAATTTTGGCGTTTTTTTAGGGAACAAAAGCTGTAGAGGGTCTTGCATTGGATGTGAAAACTTCAAAAGTGGAACCTTTGAGCACAGAATCGTTTACAAAGATGAAACATTTACAATTACTCAAGATTAACGGTTTACATCTCATTGGATGCTTCAAACCTCTTCCCAAATGGTTGATATGGTTGTGTTGGCATGGATGCCCTTTGAAATCCTTGCCATCCGATTTTGAACTGGGCAACCTTGTTATTCTTGATATGCAGTACAGCAACATCAAAGAACTCTGGAAGGAGACCAAGGTGTGCAAAATGCAGTTTCAAAAATGAAAATTTACACGTTATGTTTTACTAGCTTTGTTTGAGTTCTTTTGTTTATATAATGCTTTTCCAGATCCTCAACAAGCTGAAAATCCTCAATCTCAGCCATTGCAAGGACCTCGTTAAAATGCCAAACTTCTTGGGATTTTCCAATTTGGAGAGACTTATACTTAAAAATTGCACTAGTTTAGTTGAGGTACCACAATCTATTAGACATTTGAAGATGCTCGTTTTCTTGAATTTGGAGGGATGCTACAGGCTGAGGATTCTTTCAGAAAGCATTTGTGATGTAAAATCTCTTGAAACTTTGAACATTTCAAGGTGCTTACAGCTTGAGAAGTTGCCAGAACGCTTGGGTGATATAGAATCCTTAACAGAGCTGCTAGTAGATGGAATTGAAAATGAGCAATTTCTCTCTTCAATTGTACATTTCAAATATGTTAGAAAGTTATCATTGCGTGGAGACAGTTCCAATCAGGACTCACCATCATCTACATCTTCGGTTTCACCAATTTCATACTGGCTTTCACGAAGAGATTTCAATTGGAAAGCTTCGCTGCCAACTTCTTTGGCTGGTTGGAGTTTTTTGAGAGAAATTAAACTTGCTCCTTTTGGTTTGTCTGGAAGTGCAAGGAATTGTGTTGATTTCGGGAGTTTGTCCTCTCTTGAAAAATTGGATTTATCAGGAAACAAATTCCTCAATCTACCTTCTGGAATTGGCCACCTTCCTAGGCTCCAGGATTTGAATGTTAGTAGCTGCAAAAAACTTCTATTAATTTCAGAGCTTCCCTCAAGTTTAGTGAGATTGGATGCAGATCGTTGCAAATCAATGGAAAGGATAAGACTGCCAATTCAGTCAAAAAGATCTCCATATTTGAGCGTAGATGTGTGCCAAAATTTAAAGGAGATCGAGGGCATGAAAGGTATGGAGGATGGCTTGACGGTTCACTCTGAATACAGCTACTGTTTATCGGAAAGTTATAAGAGGAGTCTTGTTGAGGTACTGCCGTCTTTTTATCCATGTCTCCTACACATAAATACACGGATTGGACTTTCTTGAAATTAATGTTAATATGATTTATCATTCCAGTTTAATCTTAGCTATTTAAATTAAAATAAAATGACTAAGATTTTATTAGGATTTTTTATTTTCTTTATATCCATGTGTCTCCAACATTAATACTTGTATTATAAATATAAAATGTCATAAAATATTGCTTTATCTCTTTCGTTAACTGTACTGGAAATTAAAAAAATGTCAAAAAAAATATAAATTTAAAAAAAAGTACTGTTATTAATGAATTTGTATTCCTACAATTAAATTCAATGAAAAAAGAACCTAAGAAAAACATTATTTTCACAAATTCATATTATCGATACAAAACCAATAATTATATACAAACCCAACATTTCAACTTGAAGAGAACCCGTATATATATATATATATAATTGGTGATTATTAGTGTCTAACTTGAAGAGAACCCCATGCATGTGTGTGTGTGTATATATATATATATAGTATGTCGATTAATATTAGTGTCTAACATTTCAGCATTCCTTTAAATCAACCTATAGGTATGGAGCAACAATAATTATGGGTATCAGATTTATTTTCGTGATGGTGACATACCAAATTGGTTCAGCTATCGCGGAGAGAAAAGTTCATTATCGTTTCATCTACCTCCATTTTTTCAAGGGTTGGCTATTTGGATTGTCCTTCAATCTTTGTTACGTGTTACTTATGTCGGTAAGGTTTTCATCAAAAATAAAAGCAACGGTACTCAATTGTTTGAAAGTCACATAGGAGTAACTAATGAGACTGCATCTTGGGTGACATATGTAAGAAAAGGTGAGATGGCAATAGAAGACTATTGTGGAGAAGAATTGGAGCTGTATCTGCAAATACCGAAGGGCAAATGGTATTTTTCTACTATTGAACTCAAAGAAATTGGGGTCCATGTTATAGTAGAGAAGCCAGATTCATTTGAAGAGTTAGAGTGGGAGTGGGGGTGGAATAATGACATTGATGACCAAGAGTCGGAGTGGGAATGGGATCATGACACTGAGAAGCTGCAAGGAACAACATCTTCTGGTGATGTTGAAGAGAGAGATGAGATTGACAGCCAAAGTGGAACAGATAGAGTGATACTTAAACTATATCATCATCGTCTTCATCATCCCCTTTTGGGTTCAATTGCATCCTCTACTAGGGAGCAGTGGATAACTTATTTACTAAAGACGTTGCCATCACAACATGTCTCCTATGTCAGATATTTCAAGTCAACGGAACACGGCAACTTTGCAAGCCTCCTACATTAACTTTTGTCCTTTTAGGCATGATGATTTAGCAAGACAAAATTATTATTGCCTTGTTATTATGAAATAAATAAAGCTTTTTTTTTTTTTTTTGAATTTGTAGAATAATTAGAAAACTGGTTGTTATTATGATTTTTTTTATATATGTATATATGAGCCTGCTATTAGTTGCTGAAAGTAAAAGGCTACAGCATTTACAATTCCCAGATTGTTACATAGAGGCCTTTTATTCTAGGTGCACAGCAAACAAGACATTGTTGTTACTAAACAAGCAAGACATTAACTAAAACTTGAGTCCACCCATTCAACCCACACAATATCATTTCCCAAGAAGATGGCTAGCTGTTGAGGAAGTATGCCTCTGGCACCCCGCTCCTAAAAAGTCAAGAAAAGCACACATCCTACCGATCCAAAAGCACCTTACTCCGCGTCGCCATGAACACCACTTGGACAGTGAAATGTGTTTATGGCCGAGCAGCGACGAAAGCCAGGATTTGAAATTAAGGGAGACAAAATATAATAGTTTTATGTATATAAAAATAAAATAATGCAATACATACTAACATAAATGAAGTAGCTAAATAGTTAAATATTTCAAACAAAAAATATTCATAAACATTCTTTAATAAAAAGAAAAAAAATTACAATTGTTCTTTACGATTCTTCATGCCTTGATAGCAACACATAATAACTTCATCATCAATAGCGTTAAATATATCTTTTTCAATATATATGATCAAACATCCACTGATTTTCTATCTTGTCATATAACCGATTCTTTACAAATTTTATAGCAGAAAACTCTCTCTCAACGATGGTGGTTGCAATCGGTAGAATAATTATAAGGGCTAAAGTGATGAGTCTATAAACCATTGGATACCAAATATCCTTTCTTATCCGAATTGTTTTTTTTAGCAAGATCACCAATTCCGTTCATGTTAGAAAACTCACAACTAGATTTCATATGAATGATATATGTTCCAACCGATTTTCAAGAGCAACGAGTTGGATGATAGAGAAATCAACGAGGATAAAGCCGAGCAATACGAATCAACTTATCTTTATCATAAGCGAGAGAATGAATTAGCCAGGCTCAAGCATGCAAAACGAGAAAAACAACTATATGTTCACTTCATCAAATCGATTATTAGGCTCTTGAAGTTGCAAATCTATAACCGCACAAAATAAGTCAAACTTGTAATGATGCATATTTGTCACTTTCTCAATATTATGTCAAGACCATCTCCTAGCAATATGTGCATCTTCCATATTAAGGACTTGTATACGGTGGCTAGCACAAAATAAAGATATCTCATCTAACAATGAGTTCAATTCATTATCTCGCATTAATTGCAAGCATTATTTAGCTATCTTAACCAAGGTTATAGCATTCACATTATCTTGATCCTTTCTTTGTAATGCTTATGGTAATTCATGAGTGATTCATAATATGTGTTTCATCAAATGAAGATAAAATGAAATATCGGAAGATTGCACTGAATACAATAAAGTGCAAGCTTTAACTTTTTGGTTAGACAATAGTGTATAACAATTGCCATTTGTTCTTTAGTTGACGCATCATGAGCTTCATCCACTAGAATAGATAATAAAGCATTCCCAAGCTCTTAAATAATGGAATTAGTGGTTTCAATTGCATAAGCACTCACAATATCTTTTTAAATATATGAAGATGTCAATTTAAGATTTCCAAGACACTTATCGATTGTAACTATTTTGACATCGTCATTATGATCACAAAGAAGTTTCAAGTTGTCTTGAAATTTTTTTGATTAGTCGAATCATTTGATTTTTCATTACCACGAAAAGCTAAATCTTGTCTCAAAAGAAATAAAAAACAGTCAATTAAAGCATTTAAATGAACCCGATAGTTACTTCGAGCTTATTTTAATTGCTTATTGAAAATTGTTTGTAGATGTTGTTGTTGATTCATCAAAATTTGGCAATTATAGGAAGCCCGATTGTGTGTACTATTAGGACCTCTAACATGCGCTTATAACTTTTCTTTTTTCTTCCAATTGCTAAAACCTTTCAAAACAAAGGCATCACCGCTACCCCCATGCTCTTTACTATCTAATTTGAAAAGATAATATCATAAGCAATACGTCACTTCCTTTACCTTACTATATTCTAACCATGTGCGATGTTCATCAAACCGAGATGGATTAAATCTTCTTAACACATTTCCTTATAGAGTTTATTTAAAATATGTTCATGAGGTTGATAAGATCCTTTTTGTAGATATGCTCTTCAAACTTCATTCCTTATGCTAGGATGATAATCCATAATTGGTTTTCGTAGTGCGAGGATCCGATGGAAGATTTTCTAAATCAACTTTATAAGAACTTTTTTTCAAATTATGGCACTCTTCATCATGAATTTCTTGGTTTTGAACAAGTGGCAATGATCCAAACATAGTTTTTGGCTTAAAGTACCTTTCCATAACTAAAAAAGAAAGAAAAGAGAGAGAGAATCAATAATGTTTATCAAATAAATATTATATTTGTTAATTCCACCTAATAGTAACAATAGAGGTTATATAATCCCCTTAAAAAAGTATGGGTTATATTATTTTATTCAATTAGCTCAATCATTAAATAAAATTCTTTTAACATAATTTACATTGTAACTAATTTTATAATATACAATCTATAAATTAATCTTAACATATGCTTTTGATAAATCATAGATGCAACAATTACCCAATCACAATAATAAGAGTAATGAATTGAAGAAGAAACATTTCATCAAAATAAATAAACAAAGAAGAAACATAAAGGCTAGGCACTCACAATGGCATAGAGGACAAAAACAATACTTTATGTTTTTTCTTTACTCAAGACAAGAGGATAAAAACAATGATTAATAATTAAGCTGGTATAAATGAAGTAACATACTTATAGTAATTTGCTAGGAATTCTGCATCAACTTATTTTAATCAAAAGAATGATGACCTGTAGCAGTAGAAAAAAGAGAGGACAACAATACAAATAAGAAAAAAAAATTAAATAATTAGATTAAATAAAAAGGTGTTACAAGATTTGGAGAAGACAAATAGCATCAGAATCGCTTACAAGAGAGAAAGAGAGGCAATAGCCAAAGAGATTTAGGTAATTAGGCGAAATTGTGCCTTGATTACTCTAATTATGATTTTATTTGATTCAGGCATGCCCCTGACAGTTAAATTCTTTTTATGTTTTTTTTTGTATTTTTTTTTGTGTTTCTTTGGATTAATTCTAATAATGAAAACAAAATAGAAATAAGGTAAAATCAAAACAAGAAAAAAAAATAATAAAAATAAAAGGGGGGGGGGGGGGGGGTTTGGGTTATAACAAATAGTCAAAAAAATTATAATACACTAGTCAGGTACATAAAGGATTGACAATAAAGACAGACTTCGCGAAAACAGCAAGGAAATTGGCCAAATTATTTTAAAGATTTATTTTGTTTTTGTTTTGTTGTTTTTGCTTCTTAGCCTGGAAAAAAAAATTGTGGTATTTGGCCCACTGGTTGGGTCTCTGGATTTCTTCAAACGCGCAAAAATTATCAATAAAGTTAATGGTTCGGTAATATTATAATAAAGGGATAAGGAAGTATGGTCAAACACAAAATGATGGGGGTTGTAGCTATATGACAGTGATATTGCTAATTGATAATTATGAGAACATAAAATAGGAGAGCAAAATAAATAATTTAAATTTTTTAATTTTTCGTTTTGAACAGCATTAATCATATTTTTAATATAAGATGAGAATACTTAGAGAAAATAAAAAAAAATTAATATTGTATGGTGTTATCAAGAAATAAAAGTCTGTAATAGAAATATAGAAATGTGTTCTTTTTTTTTTTTGGTCAGCAAGATTTTTCACACGACACACACATCGACTAAAAAATGAAATGGCAAGGAAGCCCTCCAAGCCCAAATTAAATTTCAAAATCTCTAAATTATTATTTTTTTTTGTTATTTAATTTCATTTCCAAGAAAAGCAAATCCCTCACTATCTCTATAACCTAACTCACCCCTCTACTATTTATATACCTTTTCCCCAACCCCAAACACTACAAGAAAACAACAAATTAGTGACGGTTTAATTCTTAAAAAACCATCGTTAAATAAAATTAGTGACGGTTTTGAAACGGTTTGAAAGCCTTCAACAAAATACTTGTCACTAACTTTTAGCGATGGTTTTTAAGTCCATCGCTAATTTAGCTATAAAAAAAACCGTCGCTAATTTAATCACAATGGGATTGTACAAAAACATTTATCTATGACCAATTTAGTTGACAATATCCATTCTAATTAGAATTGTGAAATTGTTGCTAACTTTTAGCGATGGTTTTTAAGTCCATCGCTAATTTAGCTACAAAAAAAAAAAAAAAAAAAAACCATTGCTAATTTAATCCCTATGGAATTGTACAAAAACATTTATCTATGACCAATTTAGTTGACAATATCCATTCTAATTAGAATTGTGAGATGAATGGCATTGTTGCGAAAATGGTGAGATGAATGTCAGATTAAGAAAATAAAGTTGCTTTAGAGTATAGGTTTTGTTTTCTCCATTTTTCTCTGTTTGTTCCTCAACAAGGTTCCTTTTTAGCACAATCGGGAATAGAACATATTTAAAATGGTGAACAAAGCGTAATTTTTTGTTTTAGCACAAATGAAATATGATTCAAATTGATTGTTAATTTAATTTAGAAGAATCGCTTCAGGTTTTTGTCCAATTATTTTTATTTGTCGACTGGCTCTTCAAGTAAGTTTCTAGAGCTCAGAGTGAGCAATCCTCTACCCTTGGGATTCACCACTTGTTCTTAGAAACAAGGGGCTATCCTATGTTGATTAATGCAAGTTTGGGTCTATTTTGATATTTGGGATCAAACTTTGTTACTGATTTGTAGCGAATACTAGATTAACTTTCACTTTCAGGAAGAAGGACATGTAACAACAAAAAAATTTCTGTTCTTGAGACGAGTTTAAAAGA